CCCCGCCCTGACCTTTCAGTTATTTCTTTAGGAGGTTGTCTTTACGGGTTAAGAAAAAAATGTAAGAAAAAAACGCAGGATCCGGGGCTGGGGGAGCGATAGCGCAGCGGGTAGGGCGTTTGCCTTGCACGTAGCCGACCCGTGGTCGATTCCCAGCATCCCATAGGGTGTCCTGGGCACTGCCAGGAGTCATTCCTGAGTGCAGAGCCAGGAGTAACCCCTGTGCATCGCCAGGTGTGACCCAAAAAGCCAAAAAAAAAAAAACCCAACAACCCAAAAATGCAGGGTCTGCCTGGCGTATTTGCCTCCAACTATTAAAAAAAAAAGTTGTTACTATGGGGCAGGGGAAATGTGAGACCAGCCAGAAGTCCAGTTTCTAAGCCGGAGACGATCAACAGTGACGGAAAAGAAGAAGGGGAAAGAGGATGGGCCAGGGGATGGCACGGGCGCGAGCCCCCCTCCCCCCGCCCCCCGACCCTAGCTGCATCACCCTCGCAGGCCCTTGCGGTCGGGGGTTGCCAGAAGCGGTTCCGAGTCTTCTCCGGGACGTGCACACAGGCTGGACCCAGGTCCCAGAGGAGAGCTGCTCAGGGCAGGCCCGTTTCCTGGAACACGGCCCCGGGACAGGTCCCGAGGTGCGCCTGGCAGCCCTGCGGGCACCCGCCGAGCGGTGGCTGAGCACAGAGCACGTTTTGTGCCAGGGGAAACCCGCGCACCCCCATCAATAGCCTCTCTCTTTGCGGTGTCCCCCCCCCGAAAAAAAGCAGCAGTAAAAATGTCCTAAAGGAAATCAATTTAATTGACATTCTAAAGTTTCATTCGTGCCAACCTCTATTGAACACTTGACTTCGCCTCTTTCCAAAAACACAGCCGGCCAAGCGCGGGCCGTTAATTAAGACAGTCCCCGCCCCGGCTGTCCGGGGAAACGATCCCCCTGCAACGGGAAGGGAGCCACGCTCACACGGGGGCCACAGCCACGGGCAGAACAGCCATGGGCACGGCCGCCCGCGGGAGCACTCAGAGAGGAGCTTGGACCCGCAACGCGAGCCAGCCCCCAGGGAAGGCACCACAGGCCCCATGGAGAACCAGGGCCCACATTAAGTGAGATGAGATGCCCGGGAGGAAAGGGGAGGTAAGGGAAGAGGAGGGCGAGGGGGGAGGGGAGGGGAAGGCAGAGGGAAGGAGAGGGGAGGAGAGAGGGCGGCAGAGGGTGAAGGGGAGTGTGGGGGAGGGAAGGGGTGAGGAGGGAGAGCAGAGGGGAGGGGATGGAGGCCCAGCATAGACAGGCTCAGACACGGGGGCTCTGGGTTCGATTCTCAACACCACGTGGTCCTCGAGCACCAACGGGGGAGGTGACCCCCCCGAAAAGCAAAACCAGAATCCACGTGGCCCAGTGGTGGTTTCTGGGGGCGCCGGGAGGCCCAGGAGAGCTGCGGGCTGAGGGCACACACCCGGGGCGCCCCATCAGGGCGCGTGGAAGGAGGCGGCACAGGGCAGAGAGGGGCAGGGAGGGGGCAAGGGCCCGGGGCCACTCTGTGTCCGTCCAGGGGAAAGACGGGCTCCGGACAGCCTGGCTAAGAAGAGAAGCCAGGACGGGGTGTGGGATGCAGGGGTGTGATGGGCCACCCGGGGCCCTTCCTGACACGCACCCATGTGTCGAGGGGAGACAGACGGGTGGGGGGCTGTGGGCACAGCTGTGGGGACGGGTGAGGGGACAGGCAGGCCACGGGCACCTCTGAGCCAGGTCTGAGGAGGTCCCTGCCGTGCAGCTGTTCAGGTCACAGCACTGTGGGGTGTGTGTGTGTGTGTGTGGGGGGGGGGGGGTTTGGGCGGCACCCGGCGGTGCTCGGGGAACTGTATGTGGGTCCAGGGATGGAAGCACGACCCGCCGCGTGTCCAGGCCAGCTCCCTGCCCGCCGTGCGGTCTCTGCAGAGGGGGATGAGTGCCGACCACAGGCAGGGCCATCAGTGGGCCCCAGCCCGTCTGCTTCCAGCGTGGGCTCCCGCTTCCCTCCCCGGCGGCGAGGGAGCTGGGCTGCGGCCTCTCAGTTTCCAGCACAAAGACGGGCCTGTGTGGCCGGCAGCGCGGGGGAGACCCTTCCTGCACCCCGTTTCCTGCGACTCCTGCCACAAAAGCACCTTTATGGGGAGGCCTGCGGGGGCTCCCGCTCCCCTCCTGGGCGCTGCACTCGCTCAGGCCACAGGGCAGGGAGGGGGAGGGGGGCTTGGCAGGGGGTGCCCGGCCTGGCGGGGACATGAAGCTCTGATCCGGTTCTCGGGGGGGGGGGGGGGCTCACCCCACTGCAGCCACAGAGCTGATGGCACCTTCTGGCGGCGCAGGGATGCTCCCCTCTGCCAGCCTGCTCAGCCCGAGGGGCACCCACCTGCTACACAGAGGACCCGGGTTCCATCCCCAGCACTTGTCAGGAGCCATCCCTGAGCCAGCCGATACGCGCTGAGCCCTGCCAGGGGTGGCCCTGAAGACCCTGAACCCGACCGGAAGACGTCAAACTCCCGGGGCCTGAGCACAAGGGGCCAGCAGGTGGGGCCCCACCCGGACGCCCAGAGAGCCCCGGCCGGAGATGTGGGCATGGCAGGCAGGACTGGGGCTCCACCACCCCCGTCCGACAGGTGTCCGCAATCCCCCCCACAAAAACACCCGGTGGCTGCGGGGCGGGTGTGGGAAGGGGCGTCTGCGTCACTGTTTACGGCTTTTCCACGTCTGTAATTTTGGGATCCTTGATCGGGGACAGTGCCAACAGTTGCTGACGGTGGGCTCCCCCCCTCCCACCCCCCCACTCCCCGCCCTGGTGTCGTCAAGCCGGGGATGGGAAGCTGGAACCTGAAAATACCTCGGCCGTGAAGCCCGGGCAGAGCCGCCGCCCGCTGCGGCTCCCTAATTGCAGAGCCGGGTAATCACGGGGCTCGAACATCACCGGAGACAGCGCGCTCGCGGAGGGCCGGGCCTCTGTTCTGGCCCCCCTACCCCCACCCCGGGGCCCCCAGCTCCTCTCCCACAGGGATCGAGCAGCTGCTCCGACCCACCGAAAACCGCTCTTTCCCAAGCCTCCCAAAAGGAGGCACCGAGCCGCCCCGCCCCGTGCTCCAGGACCAGGGCAGGGGCAGCGCCAGCCCCCACCCCGCCCCCCGCCCGGCAAAGGCCAGCATGTGCCAAAGCCCCCAAGGAGACGGACTGGCGGCCACCCTGCTTTCCCGAGGCTCTGGCGCTGTGGGTTGAGCCCCTGCAAGCCTGCCGGGGACCCGGGTGTGGCCTCTGGAGCACTGCAGGGAGCACCCCCCACACCTACATGCATAGAGCCGGGGTGGGCCCCAAGACTGCTGGGCAGGCGGGGCCAGACTCCGCCAGCTCCGGGCATCCGCCCCGGCCGCCCTGGGTCAGTGAGGAAACGCCTCCGTGGCCCAGTGGGAGCCGGAGGGTCTGTGTCCTTGTATATGTGGGCCCGCGTGCATGTCCATATGTGTGTGCATGTGCTTCTCTGTGTTGTGCTGCGTGTCCGTGTGTGTGTGTGCCTGTGTGCGTGTCTGTATGTGTGTGCAGGTGCTTCTCTGTGTTGTGCTGCGTGTCCTTGTGTGTGTGCATGTGTGTGTGCGCACGTGCGTCTTTGTGTTGTGCTGTGCGTCCCTGTGTCCGTGTGTGGGAGCAGCCTCCCTGGCCCCGGAGGAGGGCAGGGAGCAGAGTGGCGCTGAGCATGGAGAACAAGCCCGCAGCCCCTGCCGTGCAAGTTTCCGGCCCGAACCCCTCCTTCCCCACCTCGGCCCGGCCTGCAGCGGTGAGCAGCAGCGGGCAGCTGGAACGCCGTGGGCGCACGCAGAAAGCCTGGAACAGGCGCTGTTTGAGCCAGCCCGCTGCTCTCCCGCCTCCTCTGCTAATCGCCGGCCTGGGGGCACTTTCTGCTCAAACCCGCGCTTCCGAGCTTACTGGGGGGGTGGGCGACAGGCTGACCAGGGAGGGTCCACATGGATCCCCGGGACCCCCCACCCGTCCCCCCCATCGGGGCGTCTCTGCTTTGCCGCTTTCGGCTCCCAGAGATGAGAGGCTAATAATTCCGGCTTCTCACTGCGGCCGGCAGGTTGTACTTAGGCCCGGGCCGGGCGGGGCCCGTCATTACGGGCTGAGCTCAGAGCCGCCCGATTTAGCCGATGACTAAAGTGCTCACAGCGGAGGGGCTCCGGAGGTGCCCACGGAGGGCGCGGGGGCACGGGTGCGGGAAGCTGCAGGTGTGCTCCGGAACTGACGAAGGGCAGGAAACAGCCGCTCCCGTGTGCCCACGCCAGGCCCGGCCAGCGACAGACAAGACCCCGGGGTTGCGTGGCGCGTTGCTGGAGCGAGTGGGGCTCGAGGCCGCTGTGGGCAATGGGCCCAGCCAGGTCACGGCCAGGCCTATGCCCAGCACACACTGTGGCACTGACACTCAACACGAACATTCAGCACAGTGGGGGTGGAGTCTGGGGTCCCCGGGGGGGGGGGGGTCCCGGAGGCCAGGCAGGGCTGAGCTCTGCAGAGCTGATACTGCCCATGACGGGCCCGCCCAAAGCAGCACCCGCACCCGGGTCTTGTGTCCTGGTACAACGCCACCACCCCCACCCTCCGACAGGCAACCCTGACTCTCTGGGCAGCACCTGCACCTCCGGAGACGGGGCAGGGATGCGGCTCCATCCCCGGCCCTGCACGAACCAAGACAGGTGGGTGGGCTATTGCCCGCTCCCATCCCTCCGGTGGTCCCCAACACCAATGGCCGTGTCCCGCCTGCCACCTGGTGTAGACCTCAGACCAGCAAGGTGGACGAAGGTCGGCCGCAAGCCACGGGCGCCTCTCCCTCTGTGGTCGGAGGGGCCCCGTGCCCACGGGCACCCACCTTTGTGGTCGGAAATACCCCGTGCCTGCCATCAGCCACCTCTGTGGCGCGAGGTGCCCCCTGTGTCCCCGGGCCCCCACTCTATGGCAGGAGATGACCGTGCCCCGTGCCCGCGGCGCCTACCTTTGTGGTTGAAGATGCCCTCCATCTCCATGCTGCTCCGTGAGTGGGCGATGCACAGGGACCCGCAGGGCACCAGGCCCTCGGCGGCGGGCGAGCGGTCCGTGGTGCGCACCAGGCACCAGTCGGGCTTGTCGTGGGGCCGCTCCAGCACCTCCACCGTCTGGCCACGCCGGATGGTCAGCTCGGTGCTGTTGCAGGCCGTGAAGTCGTGGATGACCACCGTCAGCTCGCAGCCGCCCGAGAGCTGGGGGAGAGGGTACCAGTCAGCCGGCACAGCAGAGGCCCCGAGCCCAGGGGACAGCAGCGGCGGGGTCGGGGGTGGGCGGGGCGGGGTGCGGGCCGTGACTGCCGGACGAGGGTGCCTGGTTTCTGAGACCAAGGCCCGGGACTACAGGCCAGGGAGCGGGGACGGGGGCTGGGCGCTCTGTGTGCAGGGCCCAGAGACCCTCCCCCCACTGTCCTGCCCCGAGGGACCTGTCACCCCCACCCCAGAACAAAAATGAAACACAAAAGCGAGCAACGGACTCCGCAGCACTGTGAAGTGAGGTGCGGGCATGCATGTCTGTGTGTGTGTATGTGCACGCGTGTCTGTTGTGTACATGTTTGTGCCTGTGTGTTCATGTATCTGCGTTTGCGTACACGTGTTTGTGTATGTACATGAACGTCTGTGTTGTGTGCATGTTTGTATGTGTCTGTGTGCTTGTATGTTTGTACACATGTCTGTGTGCTTGTGTTCGTGTACGTGCATGTCTGTGTGTGTGTGCATATCTGCGTGTGCTATGTATGTGCACGTGTGTGTCTGTGTGTGCGAGAGAGATTTCTGTGCGGCTGCTCCTAGGGGCCTGGGCTGAGACGCTGTGTGCAGGGGCTGGAGGCTCCAAAGCGCACAGGCCCAAGGCTGCCCTGCTGGACACTCAGCGGACAGCCCTGGCCCATGACCTGCCCACACCAGGCTCTGTGCCCCGAGCGTCAGAGCCTCAGACCAACGTCCAGGAAGCCAGCGCCTCCCCCCAACCCCGTGCTCCCGACGGGGACCCTCCCCCCTGCCGTCTCCAAGCGTCACCCAGACACATGCCCCAGCATCTCATGGGCCACGGAACAAGTAGGAACAGTCCCACCTCCGTGTCCGTGGGGCGCCACGCCTGGGCCCAGCTGACTCACCCCCCTCCGCCGGGCTTCCCGGCACCCCTAGATGCGCATCCCACCTCCTCCTCCCCACCTGGGGTCCTAAATGCAGCCCAGCGACTCCTGACCCTGCACCCCCATGGCTGCCCCTGGGTAGCCTCTACCTCGCCATTCCTGCCTCCCAGTGACAACCTCAGGCGTCTGCCCCTGGGACCCCCAGAGACAGGGCAGGAGGGGACCCGCTGGGGGAGCTGTCAGGGCCTGGCTTCCTGCTGAGCCCTCGTGGGCATGAAGCCAGGGCAGAGACAGGGTGTGGGGTGTGTGTGTGTGTGTGTGTGTGTGTGTGTGTGTAGTTGGGGGGACCCTCAGAGGCAGGAGCAGTGCTCTGTGGAAGAGGCCGTTTCCGTGCCAGTGCTGATGGGACAGAGGGGGACGGGCGCCTGCCTGCCCCTGGGAACGAGACGGACAGGAACTGGCTCCGCTTGGGCCCTTCTGCGCCACGTCTGTTCTGAGAAATCGTCATCAGTGCTGCTGGGGGCGGGGTGGGGGGCTGTCCCCGTGATGCGGGTCTGGCCCTGTCCCCCACACGGCCCCGAGAAGCCCAGCCGGACCACCCGCAGGAAGGGGGACCAGGTGTGTGTAGAGCGCAGGCCCTGCGAGACAGGAGGCGGCACCCACGTCCAGGGGCACTGTCCCCCCCCCCCCCCCGGGTCCCCGCTGTGCCCGGCGCTGTCTGCCAACCCTGCTTAGGGCACCAGCAGTGTGTTTGTCTGCAGTTTCAGAGCAGGAAAGAGTTCGTGAGCGAAAAGCAGGGCAGCACCCCCCCAACACACACACACACACACACACACACACACACACACACACACGCACGCGCGGCAAAATGCATCCACCCTAATGCGGCCGTGTGGGCCGGACCCCTGCACCTCTGCTGGGCCACAGAGGGGTTGGCTGACCTTTTTTTTTTTTTTTTAAATATAAGCCCTTTCTAAACAGTACACGTTTTTCCCTGAATAAGCCAGGCAGGGAACGCAGTCTGGAACAGAAGCACTGAAGAGGTTAATATGGGGTGAGGGGGGGAGCGGGGAAGGGGGAGGGGAGGGGGGAGGAAGAGGAGGAGGGGGAGGAATGTTCTTTCCCCGCTGTGGAGGTGCTCCCTTTCCTGCTTCCCATGGCCGGCCTGGGGCCATCCATCACTTCCCCACCTCCTCCGCCCTGCCCTCGGCCTCTCCCTTCTCAAGAGCTTTATTAATTTTTCAGGTGGCTCCAAGCCACGGGGCTCATTTGGGGGCTGGGGGAAGGGTGGGAAGGGGCTCGGGAGTGAGACTATTCCTGGCGTTGATCTTTTTTTTTTTAAAGCCCCTCAGAGTAATCAAAACACTATTGGAAACATCTGTGTACTTGACAGCGCAAGGAAAAAAAATCTGGCCTGTTCCGATAAAGACTCCTGTACTCAAAGTTCCATTTTTTTTTTTTTTTGCCTTCTCTCTCCCCACCAAGGCCTGACAGAACTTACTGGCAAAATCGAGTACCAGAAGAATCTGTTTCGCACTGCGCTAAAAGTAGCATGAAAGGGGGAAAAAAGAAGCCCCACTTCCGAGTCACCCTGCGTCTCGGGCGCCGTCGTCCGGGGGGAGGGCTCGTGTGGGCCCCGGACAGAGGAGGTGCCACTGCACTTCAGCCTCCACAGAAGGGCCCTTTAAAAGCAGGTTTGCTTTGTGAAAAGGAGACTTTCCTCTCATTGGAAAAACTTAATCTAACCGCCGCCCTGGAGATTCTGCTCCCGGTCAGGCTGTTCGTCCCGCGCCCTGGGGACGATGGCCGAGGCGTCGCCGGCCACCTCCACCCCAGGAGCCGACGCTGCGTTATTCTGGAAAGTGTGACAGCTGAATGAAACCCCCGTTTCTGGCCAGCTGTGTCCTGTGGATCCTTTCCACCTCTGTCTGTGTCCCGGATGGGCTGGGGTGTACGGACTTCGGGGCTGCCGCTCTTACAGCCTCCCTTTCCGTGACTCACTTTCACTCCTGAGAGTCACAGGAGGGAGATAAAAAAAAAGCCCCCACCCCCCTCGCCGCCGTTTTGACCTTAAAAAGCAAAATGCAGAGAGCAGGGCAGCTGGTGACAGGCCTCCGCAGCGCAGGGACCAGAGGGGGGCCTGGGGGTGGGTTCTCTTCCCCAGGACCGGGAAGGAACACACCTAAGCCTTGCGGGTCCCACGCGGACCCACAGCTCCACACGGGAGCCTCCTGCCAGGCCGTTTCCAGAGCTTCCACGTTCCGAGGGACCGTCCCCCACCCACAGTGAGCACAGGCACGAGGACTCGGGGCTCCCTTCCCGCGGTGCAGTAACCAGGCAGATCCGGGCGGGGAGGGGGTGGGGCTCCCCATGCTCAAGAGAAAGGGGTACGGCACGCCACGCCACGTCTACGACGGCAGGTGTCAGGTCTCGGAAAAGGGGGGGAAGAGTGTGGCCAGGGTCCCGGGGTGGGGGGCCTGAAAAGGGCCGAGACTGCCTGGCTCCTCCCGCCACAAACTGGAGAGGATGCCCCCTCCCCTCCCTGCCCCAGGGGGCCACCCCAACACTCAGCACCTCACCGGGCCACCTGCAGAGAAGCTGCCCCCCCAGGGCCCCCAGAGTCCCTCAGACACAGGGAGGGGCAGAAATGTCTCAACTCCCCCAAATCTGCGGCGGGGGGTGGAGGAGGAGGGAGGGAGAGAGAGACTGGGTGACTACGTGTGTATGAGTGTATGAGCACGTAAGTGCACGTGTGTGTATGTGAGCGTACGTGTGTATCTGCACGTGGGTGAGTGCATCTGTGACCGTGTGTGACCGTGAGCACGAGTGTCTGAGTATATGTGTAGGAGGGTACGGGTATGTGTGTCTGAGCCACGTGTGCGTCCGCAGGTATACGGATGTGAACATGTGTCTGTGTGTCTGAGTGTGCACGTGAGGCGAATGACCCTGTGTGTGTGTATCTATCTCAGGACACGTGTGCCTGTGACCGTATGTGTGCGCCTGTCTGTGTGAATGTGTCTGGGCCTGCGTGCATATGTGTGTGTGCACATGTGTGTCTGTGCATGTGTGTGTGAGGCACGCTCCCCCTCCCGACTCCCAAGGCCACACACTGGCTTCCTGGAAGCCCTGGGCCTGCGCCATCCGGCTGGGGAGCGCGGAGAGGCCGCGGGAGGGGGCGCCGGCCTGCACGCCGTGCCGCGTCCCCTCCCTTGGAACGTTCTGGAAACAGACGCCAGCACTCGGAGGCGGGCAGAGCAGGCGGGGTTGTGTCCTGCTCATGAGACGCTTCAGGGACTGACGCGAAAGAGGCGCTGGGCGGGGGCGGGGGTGGGGGCGCGACGTGGGCAGCGGAAACGGCCCCCACAGATGAGACCGTCACACGTGCGGGGCTGTGGTCTCAGGCTGCGGCCACGGCGCAGGGGGAAGGGGGCCCCTGAGCTCCCCCAGGGACACCTGAGAACGGCCTGCCATCTCCTGCCTCAGGTGTTGCCTCAGACCACGCTCTCTAGTTTAGTGTGTATGTGCGCATGTGTGTGCGTGTGTGGGTCTGTGTGCATGCATGCGTACAGGTGTGTGTATGTGTTTGTATGTGTACGCATGCAGGCGCGGGCTGTAGGCTGTTCATCGAAGCCATTCACGACTACAGATATCGAAGCAAAACAAAACAAAATCCCCATTTAAGAACGACAGAACGCCGTGGCCACTTAGCGGGAGAGAAGCCCGAAATAGGAACAGGAGCACCGTGCCCACCCACCTCAGCCCAGCTGCTGGGGAGGGGGTGGGAGCCAGGCGGGAAAGGGCGCCTGTCCCCTCCTTTCCGCAGGGCAGCAGGGGCAGAGAGGGCACCTTCCATGGGACAGATGTGGCCCGCACATGGTGGGGACCGTGAGACGGGTAGGCGGAGGAGAGAGGCTGGGGCCAGGAGTGCGGGGTCAGGAGGGAGCCCCGAGCAGAGTCAGATGCGGCCCCCAAACCCAACGCAACCCAAAGAGGGTGCGGGCCAGAGCAGGAGTACAGGGAGAAGGGCGTCCACCTGCACACGGCCACCCGAGATTAGCCCCAGAATCCCGTACGGTCCCCTGAGCACCGCCAGGAGTGACCGCTGAGCACAGAGCCGAAGTCAGCCCAGAGCACTGGCGGGTGTGGCCCAGAGAATGAAACTAAGGGCAGCGCGGGTGTAGCCGGGCCTGGACCGGCAGGCAGGCTGTGTCGTAGGGACAGGCTCTTGGTGCCCGCAAAACTGCAGCGAGCGACACAGCCTGCGGGCTCGGGCCGGGCGGCAGGAGCAGCTCTCCCCAGGAGAGACCCCGCGAAGAGAAAATGCACAGTGTCCCCCCCCTCCGCCCCCAGGGCTCCAGCCTCCCCAGGGCACAGCTTGGAGGCACATCTGGGCCCCAGATGCTGGCCCCGGTCGGCCTCTATGCGCTCTGCAAGCCTCTGTTGCCTCCCATTCCAGCAGGACCTGAGCCCAGGAGGACAGACAGACACTGCGGGAGCCCGTGGGTGCCGCGTGGCTGGGGCAAGACGTCTTTTCTCAGGCTCATCCCCCTGCTTGGCTGCAGTGGGCCCGCCCTCAGCCCTGCCCCTGCCCCTCTCCTGGGCCTCCCTCCCCGCCTCAGGGACCCAGGCTCAGCACAAGTGAGATAAGGCCCTGGCAAGCCTTTGATTTCTTTGGAATGTGAATGGAATTTTCATAAGATCATTCTCTCTCTCTTTTTAAAGGGGGACGGGGTGAGTCTGTAGCGCGAGCATCAGCAAGAATCGATGCTCCACTCCCTTCTGGAACGGAGACTCGCCGGCATACTTTAGGGCTGATGGGGTCCAGAGAGCGGAGGCTGGGCGGGCTGACGGGGCCTCCCCTGGGGGAGCAGCCCCTCCCAGACATGCTTCCGGGCTGCCTGTGGGGCCCTCGATGAGACAGCGGGCGGCGGTGTGGGCGCAGGGAGGCATCTCCCCGCCTGCTGGCTGCAGCGACTTGCTCTGAGGGCGCTGGCAGGTCAGAGCACAGAGTCCTGGACCCCGGGCTCAGGTCACGACGCGCCTGCCCCATCCCAAGCCTCCAGCTGCCCCGACCCGCCAGGCAGAGAAGGAACAGGCTGGCTGCAAGAATCCCTCCTGAGACAGGCAGACACAGGCACCCTTGTGCCCCCCAGGCCCCTCGCCCAAACCCCACTGGCCGACGGGACCTTCAGGCTTGGGACAGGCACCCAGTTCCCTTTTTTTTGGTTTTTGGGTCATACCCAGCAGTGCTCAGGGATCTCTCCTGCTGGTGCTCGGGGGACCAGATGGGGTGCCAGGCATGGAACCTGGGTCAGCAGTGTGCAAGGGGAGCACCCTGCATACCCGTACGGTCATGCTAACATTACTCCAAGGCCTGGCTCCGTGGATGCTGGCTCCCCAACGCGGGGCCCAAGCACCGAGACCCAGGCCCAAGACCCCCCGGCTAGCTTTTTCCCTGAGCGCCCTCCTCCCAGGAGACTGGGCACGGCTTGCGAGTCACCTGGGTTTCCGGCACGTCCAGTTCCATCACTCACTCGCCGCCCTGTCTCAGCGCCAGAGGGAACGCAGACCTGAGCCTGTGCTCTGGGTGGAAGGAGTCCAGAGCCCCAGACAGGACGAGGGCATGACGGGGACGCTCCCCCACTCAGACCCAAGGCTCCTATAGGGAATGCGGGATGGGGCGTCAGGACCCCGAGTCTGAACACACCGCTTGTTGGGTAACATTGCTTTGTCCTTCAACAAGAAGCTTAGATTTATCTGGTTACACCCATTAATCTGGTTACACCCATCAATCTGGTTACACCCATCACAGTGCTCCTGAAGCACTTCCACTTCCATTGTGTTTATCTATAAGCAGTCTTCCCTATGCTCTCCTTTCCACCCAGTTAATCAGCTTTCCCCTTATTCAAACTTTGTAATTTGTAAGATCAGTTTCCCAGAAATCTATGATTTTATACGTATGAGTGAAATATTGCCTTTCTCCTCTCCTTATGCCTTATGAACAGTTTACCTTAAAGTAATATCCTTTTTGTATAGATACAGGAAGACCGTTAACATCATGCTTTGTAACTTAGGATTTGATTGGCCTTGAATATTATTCACTCCCGGGCATCTGCTTTCTCGACTTAAGCCTCAGTTGCCCTTAGTTCCTAGCACCCCAAAAGCAGGGTCCCGACGAGGGACTGAATGGACCCAGGGCAAGCAGTGAGCTACCCTGGCAGCGAAATGGGCCAGGCCAAAGTGCCACGATTCTTAACTATAAGAGTTTGATCATAGACAAATGCTGTCATGATCCAAAGGTAACGACAAGACTAGGATCCTGCTAGGGGTGGGAAAGACTATCTGGCCTGAGCACCGTAGTCTGAGATCGAGATGGCCCTAGGAGAGCAATTCTATAAGTTTAAGATATTTCTTACTGTATCCATACAAAATGATTTATATTATATTCTTATATGCTTGTCGGACAAGGAGAAGAGAGGCACGCCCATGGGATTATGCTCTAGGGTGGGTCCTCCTGCTGAGGAAGGATCTGTCCTAGGAGTGGTCTTCCCTGAGACCAAGATTTCTACCCCTATTGATTGTGACAGCACCTATGTAATTGTCCCCCCAATTCCTCATGGAGAGAGGATTTAACTGTACTGTAGGAGTGGGCTGGGGGCAGAAGGAAGAAGAGAGGTCAGAGAGGATCAGAACCCAGACTCCAGAGAAGGAGGATGAAGGGGAATGGAGAAGGAGAAAGAAGTAGCTGGGGGAGGAAGAATGGGGAGCAGAGAGACAGAAGGAGAGAGGGAGCAGAGACAGATGAGGAGAGAATCAGAATAAACTACGACTAATACCTACCAGCCTGGCCCTCGTTCCTTCCTCCGCCTGACCATCGCCATCGACCTCTCCAGGGTGGGAGAAGGGTGAGACTACCGAACGTGGGCGGCGGAGAGATAGAGCCACCGCCACTGTGGGTGCTGCGTGCCCCCCCCTTTGTGTGAGTTTACACAACCACTCATCTCCCTGTCCCTGCCACCTCGCGGTCACTTGCCCTCCTCTGCTCCCATGGGTGCTGAGACGCCCGTCTTGTCTCGGAGCGACACACAGCCTCGGGGACTGCCCAGCCACCAGGCTGGGCCCTGGGACCACCACGACGATGACGGTGACCACGAGAGGCCGGAGGTCCTGTACTCTACACATGACCATGACCCGTGCGGTGACCTCAGCATTCCAGGAAGGAGTCTGGCGGTCAGCACCCGGGAGACAGACCGGGGGGAGGATGGGGGTGGGCACACAACCTTCACGGGGGCACCTGGGCATCTGGAGAGCCCGGGCCTCCCGCCCTGCCCGTGTGGGCACGAGGCTCTCAGGGCAGGAGGCAGCCCTGTGACCCGTCAGCCTGGCCCGGGGCTGGCACCCCCAGAGGCCAGCATCCCTGCTGCCGCTGGCCATGCTCAGGAACGCAAGCTTTCTGGGCACGAGCACCTCCTGCTGGGAGCCACAGGGCCACAGGGGAAGGACACAGGACTTCCCTGACCCCTTAGGACACCCCGGACCTCCCTCCGCCAGGGCCCCAGGATCCGTTGGGAGAGGCGGAGGGAGGGCCGGAGGGGCTCAGCATTGTGGCAGCTGCCTGCAGGGGAGGCCCGGGGCTGTGTCTCCAACCCCCACCCCAGGCACAAGCCAACAGGGCCAGCGGGTGGTCCTGGCTGGCTGGCCGGATGGGAGGACTGTAGGGAGCCGGAGCAGACAGGCCAGGGAGAGCAGCAATGGAAGGGGCTGCGGGCGGGGGTCTCCCGCCCACTCCCACCCCCACCCTCCTGCCCACCTTGTCACTGTCCAGCGTGTTCTGCGACGTCCGGGATGCGATGGAGATGGTATCGGGCTGGCTGCTGCCGTCCCCTTGGCTGTCCAGGTCCTCGCCGTCCCTGGGGACACAGGGGCCGCTGCCGTGCCTGCCAGGGGCTGCCCGCCCACCTGCCCGCTCTCACGCGTGTCGGGGCGGCCCCGTCCCCCCACGGGCCGGGCGGTTACCCACCTGCGTCCCTTCTGCCGTGGGGCGGGCGCCGTCTTGGGGATGTGGATGGGCTCCTTGAGGGCGCCCTGGAGGTGCACTGTCCGCTCCTGGATCACCTCGCGGATGTGCTTGATCCAGTCCTGCTTGTTCTCGATGCTCGAGGCCTTGGCGGGGGGTCGGGGCCGTCAGGGGCGGCAGGGCCGGAGCCCACGCACCTGCCCTCAGCCCAGCCCCCAAGGACCCCCAACAACGCCTCGTCCCCCAGCGATGCCACTTCTCTCTCCGAGAGCCACGTGTGGCCCCGGCCCCGCCCGGTCCTGTCCCCTAGCCACTCCGGGCCCGGGGCACCCCAGGGCGCTCTGGCGGACACCGGCAGCCGTGGCTCATCGCGGTGGTCCAGGTTTGGCTCAGGGGCCAGCCCACCCTCCGGCGACAGAACGGCCCGTCCTGCCACAACTGTTTCTGTCCGTGTGATCTGGAGCCGTGTTTTACTCGTTTATTTTTAGAGTGCACAGCAGAAGAGTTTTACTGAAAGAAACTAAGAGGAACAAGACGGGGAGAGGAAGGGAGCCGAGGGGCCGTGCTCCCGCTCCCCCTGGCGGCCGCCTCCCCTGGCTGGGCTCGGCTGACTCCAGCGGTCAGGGCGTGAGGCGCAGGAGCTGGGGAGCCCCCCAAACCCCAAACCAAGGAGGCGAGGGCCCGGACACTCCCTCGTCTGCGGTCCCGAGGGAGGTGAGGGGATGAGGCGCTCAAACAAGGTCCCGCACCAGATCCGAGCAAGCAAAGTGAAGCCATTCTGGGGCCGAAGCTGGGGAGGCTGGGCGGGGGCGGGGTGTCTGTACACGAGATAAACAAGCGTCTCCGAAGAGAAAAACTTGGAAACCACAGAGCCGAGGGGATTTAAGCCCTGACACCAGCGTTCGGGTGGTTAAACAAAGGAAGGATCTGGAAAGGGCCGTCGTCTGGCAGTCTGGAGGCGAATGAGGAAAACTGTCATTACGGCTCAGGAGCGGGGAGATTCTCACGGCCCCAAGCGAGCGGGCGGGCGAGGCTCTGAGGCACAGGGAAGGGGCCGTGCGGGCGGGTGGGCGCAGCCGGGGAAGAGGGAGGGTCAGAGGCCAGCCCTCAGGACCGAGGGAGGTCACTACACGGTCACTCGGGGCCGCCTCATGCGACATTGGTGACCTCCGTGGCTATGGCCGCGGCTGCCTGTCCTCCTCTCTCCTGCCACCCCCCTTACCCGGCGGCCGGTGCCCCGGGCCTATCTCTGGGGATGTGGGCGCGTTCACTCCCTGCACCCAGGCCTAGTGCCTCAACATCCCCAGAAAACATTCGCACGGCAAAGCTGGCGGAAGCCGCCGCCTTTGACCCCCGGGCCCTGTGCCCGCATGCTGGCCTCGCGCTGGCCTCTAGCCAGGATGCCCGCCGTTGCTAGGAGCACGAATCCTCCACAGGAGCTAGGGACATCACGTCCCGCCTACGTCAGGGGCTCTGCGCCGTGGGGCCACGCAGGATCTCTCGGCGCGGGCGGGAGTCTTCCCGACAAAACCTACCACGCCCCGGGAACGGCCTGAGACATGCATATGGGTCTCTGTCACGATCGTCACAGAGCCCGGAAGAGGCGGCAAGGATGAGAGACTCTGCCGGGTGGGGGAAGCCACGGAGCCCCGGAGAGGAAGGTGGGGGTGGCCGTCGCCGTGCAACCCTCGCGCCCCAGTGGCCCTGCAGCACCCGCGGGAGTATTCCCCGGCCTCTCCACCCGCAGGTCGCCCCCGGAGCCCGGCCACTTCAGGGGGAGGGTCAGCGTGGCCGGGGGTCACAGCAGAGGGTCCAGGGCATTTTCCCTCCCCAGAGACGATGAAGTCAGAAGCACCCGGGAGACCTGGGTGCTGAGGCTGGGGAATGGGCGCGGGTGGAGGGATGGGTGTCGGGACCCTGCAGGACTGAAACCCGCCACGAACAGCTCCGTAAGGCTCTAGCTCACGGTGATTCAATCACAAAAGTAAAAAAAAAAATTCGAAAAGAAAAATCCAAATCCAAATGCGCCCTGGGTGTGTGAGCCCTTCAGATCAGCACCCTGTCATCTCCAAGGAAATCGCCCTCAACCCTCTCCCCTCGGAGAGCCCTGGTCAAAGAGGAGGCCTCAGTTTCCCCCCGCCAGTGGGGGTCAGCAGCCGCGTTTCCCTGTCCTGTCCTTCCCTGTCAACATTCCTGCCGAGTCCTGGGCTCCGGCTGGGCAGCGGACATTCTCCCAGGAGATGCAGAGACAAAGGGGCAAAACTGGACAGAACCTTGCCGCGGAAGGCCCCAAAGAGACGGTTCCCACAGGCCTAATGGAGCAGGAGATGCTCATCTTATCTCAGCAATGCAAATGGGCCCCAAATTAGCACGGTGTCTCTGGGAAAGGAGGAAATCTCTCATCCTCTGGGAAGTAACAGAGAAGAGACGCAGTTCTCCTACAAAAGCCCCCAGGATGGGCCGCACTTCACCCGGTCCTACACCGAGCTCCTGCCCGCATGCAGTGTCTTTCTCTTCTACTAACTTTTCAATAAGTTTCTCTCTATTTTTATTAAGTTCAAGCGCCTCAACTACTGAACGTTTTTATTCTGATTTTGTTTTGTTTGGGGGGCCACACCCAGCAGGGCTTAGGGCTTCCTCCTGGCCTTGTGCTCGGGGATCACTCCTGGTGGGCTCAGGGGACCCTCTGGGCTGCTGGGGTCGAACCCAGGCTGGCTGCCCGCAGGCAAGCGCCCTTGGCCCCTCTACTGTTTATTGCTCTGGCCCCGGTATTCTTATTCCTTTAAGAAATTTTTGTTTTATATTTTTGCTTTTTGGGCTACACCCAATGATGCTCGGGGCTTACTTCTGGCTCCACACTTGAGAATTACTCCTCACAGTGCTCAGGGGACCCTATGGGTTGCCAGGAATCAAACTTTGGCCAGTCACGTGCAAGGCAGACGCCCTGCCGCTGTCTTACCACTCCGGCCCCGATATTTTCATTCCCCAACATGATAAAGAAACCTGGGCGGGCGCAGTGGCCTGGTCACTCTCAGGCATCCCCGGCACACGGGTCTGGGCTGTATCAGAGGCTGCCCAGGATGCCCCGGGCCGGGTTTCCTCGAGGAAGCCGAGGCCCAGCGTGCAGGCTGGGCCTGGCCGAGGAGAGCCGGAGTGGAACCCGTGACCCTTCCCGACACTGGGCGAGGACGAGGAGCCAACTGGCCACCGTCCACGCTGGGTGACCAAGCCCCGAGGACACAGGGCGTCCACTCGGAGCCCGGGAGCACCCCACCCCCGTACGTACCTTGAGGACGATTTTGTTGTCGGAGGTGGGCGTCCTCCCTACCCACAGTGCAAATTTGCAAGGATCGCCTTCTACGTGCTCCGTGACGCCCAGCTCTGAGGTCTGGAGAGAGAGACAGACAGTGCCGTCAGGTGCCAGCGACGTGCAGCGGGAGACGGGACGGTGACAACGGACCAGCGCGTGTGGACGGTCCCGTCCCCACGACACGCGAGGCTCTGCTGTGTGGCCTTGGCTGGGGGGGGGGGGGGAGAGGATGGGAACCGGCCCGCTTCCCCCCCTGGGCTGGCCAACAGGCAGGTACGGCCACTCCCCAGGGACGTGTGTGTGCGGTCCAGGGTGTGATGCGCCGAGGCCCGGGGGCTCCGTGAGTCCGGCCCAGTGCTCCCAAGGGTCTGAGCCGGGCAGCCACCCAGAGCCACCCCGCCTGCGACGGAGGCGCAGAGAACACAGAGAGAGGAAAGCTCATTCCTGAGGTGGGGGCCACCTCCCCCCTCCCCACACTCTCTCAGCCTCCAGCAGGAAGTGAATCCGAAGGAAGTGAATCACAAGCTCAAAGCACCGGAGGGGCCCCCTCCTCTCACCCCCCCCCCCCCCCATTCCGGGGGAACCTGGGCAGTGAGAAGATAAATGAAGTGAAGATGGATCCGCCCGGGCCCCGTGCCAGCCGCGTCCCTGAGGCCGGGTTGGAGCAAACCCTGGCGGCCAGCACGGCTGCATTCTTCCTCCCCGTTAGAATCTGACAGGGGGGTGGTGACGTAAGGTTGGCCGCGGGCCAGCGGGCCAGGGGCCAAGGAGAGAGCGGGGAGGGACGGGGGCTGTGTGTGTGTGTGTGTGAGAGAGAGAGAGAGAAAACCATTATCCTGCGCCCAGCAGGCTCAGAGGCCCTGGGAGAGTCCCCGGGGAGTGGGGGCGGGAGCAGGGCAGGGCCACACCTGTGTAGAGGAGCCACGTTCTGAGCTCCCCTACCGGTGCTCAGGACTTACTCTTGGCTCTGCGCCCAGGGGTCACTCCCAGTGAGGCTCTGAACCCGAGTCAGCCACGTGCACAGTTCTCTCTCTCTCTCTCTCCCCCCCCCCCCCCCCCCCCCCCCCCGTAAACCTATTCTTATTCATGTTCGTTTGGGGAGGGCACACCTGGCAGTACTCGGGGCTTGCTCCTGGCTCTGCGCTCACTTCCTGCCGGGCTTGGGGCAACCCACATCAGCTCTGGCAATCCGGTGCTCGGCCATGTCGCCCCAGCCCGGACTTCATTGGGGTGAGAATGAAAGCAACGCTCTCCGGGAGGGGCCCGGGCCCGAAAACACTGCCCGGGGGGCGCCTGAGCATGGCCCACCACCCGCCCCCAGTCCGGGCCTCCGATGCCCACCAGTGTCAGACTGCACGCGTCACAGCCAGCCTTGTGCTGCCGTGCGGATGACGGCTGTGAGCGCAGCACAACCACGTACAACAACTTCCTCCCGGCGTGAGAGGCCGGTCACAGCTCACAGCCAAGGAACGGCTCAAAGCCAGCCGATGCGCGCCCTCTAGTGGGCTCACGCGGAGTGAGGCCCAGCAAGGACAGCAGCCCCCCTCCCCACCAAGCTGGGAGTCGATGCTAGGCGCCCACCCCACCCCGGGCCCGGAGGCCGATACTTACAAACAGTTTGCTCTTATAAAGGTACTTGCTTCTCCCACTGGAATCTTTCACTTCTTTACTGAACACCAAGGACATCTCGAAAAGGAAGAGGTGCCGTTCTCGACCCTTCCGGATTAAGGTCTTGGGGTCCCACACTTGGAAGGATTCCTGAAGGATGAGTTCTCCCTGAGACTCGATATTCTCATCAAACCCTGGGGCAGGAGAGAAGGGAAGAGGAGGAGGATCACGCCATGAGCGAGACCTGGGCGCCGGGAGGGACACGCCGCCCCCTCCCCAAACAGGGCTGCTGGTGGGTGCCCCCCCCACAACCTCCACGGTGAACGGCCCCTGGCCTGTGCCGGCCGGATTCCTTAGCCCCGTCCGCTCTGCCGGCCTCCACGCAGTCTGAGCCCCCGTCTTCCTGCCCCCAAGGTGCCTGCCCCCTGCCTGTACCCGGTCGGTCTGGCCCTCTCCTCCCACCAAGGCCGAGGCTGTGTGGAGCGGCGCCGGTGCTGAGCCTGTGGCGGCCCCGGCACCCCTGAGCCTTCTGACGCAGGCTCCTGGCCCGGCTCCTGACAGCTCTGCTCTTCCCAAAACGGTGTCTCAAAAGCATCACGGGGGGAGGGCCGGGCAAGTGGGGGCGGCTCCCAGGCAGTTTGCTCAGGAGGCCGGGGGACCCCTCATGGTCAGGCAGGGGCCCCTGTGCTGCCCAGGCCAGCCTCGCCATGGGGCTGACCACAGGTAAGTGCCCGCATCCTGGTGCTGTCTCTCTGGGCCCCTGATAAAGGAAGATGGAGGGAAAACCTGCCCCGGGTCTGTCAGGACCCCATCGCGTGCCACGGTGTGAGAGAGGACGGGAGCCCTGAGTTCCGGAGTAGCCACAAAAGGCCTCCATGCGCCTTGGGAGCGCTGACCCCTGCACCCTGCCCGAGGGGGATGGCTCAGCCAGGGGAGGGGACACGCCTTCTCGCCCCGCAGGGCTGCGGGCGTGCCTGGTGGACTGGCTTGGTGCCCGGCCGTGAGGGCAGGACGAGGTTTGCTCCACCAGAACCCAGGACAGGGGCGGAGGTGGGACCAAGCGGGGCTGGCCCTGCCCTTGGCGCCACCCCTGCACCCGAGAGGCCCCGACTGGGTGAGGCTGTGTCCTCTGAGGCAGGGACAGGACCGGACGCTAGGGAGGCAAAACCAGTTCGGGCCGGTGGCGAGTCTTTCCAAGAGAAAACGCTGGGTGCCCGAGAGACCGCAAGGGGGTAAGAAGCTTGCTGTGCATGCAGAGGACACAGCTCCATCTGCAGGACCCCACAGGGTTCCCCATGCCTGTCCAGAAGTGGGCCCCGAGCACAGAGCGAGGAATGAGGCCCTGAACACAGTGCCAGGAGTGAGCCCTGAGCACGGGCAGGAACCAAACAGAAAACAAACAGAACCGGAAACAACAGCATCTGAATGCCAAGTCCGAACCAGTCAGAGGCCAGAAACCTACGTGCCCGCCTCACCTTCCAGCATGCTGAGGTGCATGGCGTCGTTGGCCCGCTTGGGCACGCTGAGCATCACCTCCAGGCCGTCCTTGATCTCGCCCTTGCCTTCCTCACAGCACGTGAGCAGCTCCTGCGGACACAGCGGGCGCGAGTGAGTCCCGGCTGCCATGGCCCGGCCCGCAGGCAGCGCTCTGCGGGGCCCGAGGTGGACGCCCTCTCCCGCGGACGCCGCCGGCTCTCGGAGGGACGCTCCTCCCTGTGGAGTCGGGAAACGGGCCTGCGCGCGAGCCAGCCTCGGGACAGTTCGGGCATGCCCTGGCAACACTGTCCCGATCCAGGGCAGTAGAGACAGGCCGGCCAGCGCAAGCCGGAGCCTCACAACCTTTCAGCGCCCAGGCTGGACGGCCCGCAGCGAGCACCATCCACTTGGACCGCCAGGGGGTGGGGTGGGTGCGGCAGTGAGGGGCTTCCCCGTGTCGGGACACAGCCCTCTACGATGGCTCCTGCCCTCCGGAAACAGCTCCCGACAGAGCCAGGGAAGATGTTCACACTGAGAGTGGGTCCGGATGCGGGTATTTTTTCCCCTTCTTTTCAGGTCACACCAGGGCGAGTTTTTTTTTTTCCCTTTCTTTTCCGGTCACACCCAGCGATGCTCAGGGGTTACTCCTGGCTTCTCTGCACTCAGGAATTACTCCTGGCGGTGCTCGGTGGACCATAAGGGATGCCAGGAATTGAACTCAGGTCGGCCATGTGCAAAGCAAACGCCCTACCCACTGTGCTATTTCTCTGGCCCCCAGGGTGGGGTTTTAGGGGACAAACACGCTTCGGTTCAGGCGCACACGTGGCCAGCCAGGGTAGGTATTTCTACACAAGCTGGTTCCCAGGAGCCTGGCCACAGCAGAGGCCTCGGGGGCAGAGATAAGCCAGGCTGCTGACCGTGACCCGGGACAGCAGCACGCGGTGCGGTTCGAGAAGACAGGGCTGGGTCTCATCCGAACACCCACACCAGAGACATGTCACTGACAATGACCTGCAAGGCAGCCTCCCAAGACCTGGTGCCCCCAGACTCTTCCTGCAGACTAGCACTGGGAGGTGAGTCTGATGCAGGAGGCTGTGTCCGCAGGCCAGACTTGGGTAAGGTCACGGGACCGACAATGCCTCTTTCCCGTCTCGTAAAAGCGGGGATGCGGGCCTGTCAGGCTGTTCAGGAACAGGGCCCGGCCGACCCAGGGCTCCGAGTAGGGTCCGGGTGTGTGTGACAACAGCTGCCGGCCCAGGGCTCTGAGCAGTGCCCAGGTGAGTGGACAGGCTGCGGACGACTCACATCTGTATCCGGGCGTCTTTCAAAGAATCCACTTCCCTCAGATCTGAGGACACGAGAGGCAACCCCCATCCCGCCCCCAAGGAAAGCCACCACGCCCCATGGGACGCACCTTTAAGAGCAGCTGATACTTGGTTATCCGCTGGACGGGCTTGATAAGGTAGGAGGAGATGGAGTTGGCCAGCCCATGTCGTTGCTGGATCTCCTGGACGGAGAACAGAAGCAGATGAAAGGTCCTGGGGTCATCCCGAACTGGGGATGAACTGGGACCCTCGATGGCCACAGTGAGACGACACGCCCTCACCCCTCGGATGGGCACACACACGTCAGAGCTTCCCCGGGACCAGGGCAAGAACACAGCTGGGACAGGTCCCCAAACAGGGGACTCACACGCCTGGCCCTGGCCAACTGGTTCTCTGGGGCAGGGCCCACATGGAGGGGATGGGGACAGGGGTCCCATCCAGCCCAGTGTTCACGCCGGCCTATGTCTTTCCTGTCTCATGGAAGCGGGGACAAGAGCTTCTGAGAAGCAGTGAACTGGGACCCTCGAGGCTTTGTATCTGCTTCTCTTTCGGGGGGGGGGGGGGGGGGGAGACAGGGCAGCCCCTGGCAGTGCTCACTGGGCAATCTGTGGTGCTGGGGGGCCTCAGGGCCACGTTGGAGGGGTCCCCACTGCCCCCGTGAAGACCTGTCAAGGGCTCCCTGCCGTAGACCATGGCTGAGAGCTGGGCCCGCCGGGCTCTGTGGACGACACGTTGCCCGCTCCATCTAGGGGCTTTCTGTCCACACCCACGGGACGCCCAGACCCCAAGGGTGAGGGTCAGTGAGTCCTGCCGGAAGTTCATGCACTCGTAACCAATGCCCAAATGGCAACAGAGCATTGCCACCGCCTGCCTGTCCTGCCAGCTGCCCAGCCCTCACCCGGAGGCTGCCAGCTTCATTTCCACCAATGATTCCGCAAGTTCTGGGATTTCAGGTGGAAGGAGCCCAGGGACGCTCAGCCAGGCTCGCCGAGCTTCCAAGGCCTGCGTCGTGCATGCGGACCCAGACCTCGGTGTCCGGAGAGAATGGCTCTGCAGCACCCAGCACAGCCCGGACACACACAGGCCACGGCACCATCAAAAGAAGCACAGCCCAGGGGCTGGAGCCATAGCACAGCGGGGAGGGCATTTGCCTGGCGTGTGGCTGACCCGGGTTCAATTCCCAGCATCCCATGGGGTCCCTCCAGCACCGCCAGGAGTGATTCCTGAGCACAGAGCCAGGAGTAACCCCTGAGCATTGCCAGGTGTGACCCCCCCAAAAAAAAAGGACGTCAAAGACTCCTGACCCCCCAACCCAACAACTCATTCTTCTGTTTGTTTCTGGACCAGACCCAGCAGTGCTCAGGGCTTACTCCTGGCAGGCTCAGGGCACCAGGGCTTGAACCCGGGTCAGCCGCATGCGAGGCGAGGCCTTGCCCACTGTCTTGTCTCTCCAGCTTCCAAGCCTGCCCATTCCTAAGCTACCCCGAGACCCCATCCTGGGCTCAGGCTGCAGAAGCATCCTGCAAGCTCAGCCCCCTCCCACCACCCTCAACGAACACGGAGCTCTGCTCGGGGATCAGGTGCCTTCGTGGTGTAAGACCACCAGGCCATTCCTCAGAGGCTTTCAACCCTCAATGCAGGAGGGACGGGCAGAGGTGAGGTGAGAGGGAGGAAGACATCGTGGTCTCTCTGGCCTCTGCGTGAGCCCAAGTCCTCGCCGGGAGCCCTCCCAACCGCCATGTGCCTTCACTGCGCTCCCCGATGGCCAGCGGCCACCTTGACTGGAGCAGGGCAAGGCCAGCAGGCGTGTACAGCACCATCAGCCCAGAACGGCTGGCACACTGCACACGGCCGTGCAGTCAGGAGCTCGCTCGGTCCAACTGCGTGGGACCACATGTCACTCGTGTCACTCATGACCAGCTCGTGGCCAAGGTGCAGGACGGTGAGAAGCGAGAGGAACCGCCCGAGCTCTGTGTCTGCACGCCTGATGATGCCGGGAGATGGAGCCCAGGCCGGGCGCAGAGAAACATGTCCGAGAAGTCGCCAGGGTCACCTACGGCGGGGAGGGGGTGGGGGCGTCCGCCCTTCTTTTTCCTTTCTGGGTCGCACCTGGGGCGGGGGGGCATATGGGGCCAGGGGCGAGGGGGACTGAGCTCCCCGAGGCAGCCCTCGGAGCTGGCTCCAGCCTGACACTCATCCTCATTCGCACGGAGGAAAGGGCAGATGACGGCCAGGCTCACACAAAGAACATGGCTCATTGCACCGAGACCCCTTATTTTTTTTGCGCCAGAATACATCTGGCCCATAACGGATGATACTCCGGAAATGTGGAATAAAACTCTCCCGTGTCAGGAGCACGGGCCCACCATCTTTTTCATGAAAAACTTCCCAGAAATATCTCTGAAAAATGGATGAGCTACACCGATGTCTGTGCCCAGGTAAGCACAGAGCGTGGATCACCCAACGGGCCGAGTCGTGACTGAAGCTTTTGTGAGAGTTTCCTGGTGGGCCCCCTGTGGAAATCAGTGCTGTGAAACTCGGATGGTAAAAACTGTGACTGAAAAGCGCAACCCGAGCCCTTCCCCCAGAAGGACCCGGTTACCAGTTTCATTCTCCCCGAAAGCAGCTAATACCTCCCGCCCTGCATGTGCCAGGGGAAACTGAGGCCTCTTCTGCTCTGACACCCATGGGAGCCCACGTGAAATCTGAGTTTCCACGGCTTGTGGCCTTGCTGAACTTTCTCAGGTCCTCCTGAAGGACGTCTTGAAATCACGACGGAACTTACGCCCAGCATAAACACCATCGGTCAAGAAACAAAACTACAGGCACGGGGCTGGAGGCGGTTTAACGCCCACAGATGGCACTGTGGCCGGGGTGGCTCACGAGCTCCAGGACACTCCCCGTGCCTCCCGAGCGACCCCACTTACGTCAAAGTAGGAGCCCGCGTGTTCCAGGATGAGCTGGGTGGAGTCGGGCTTGTTTTTGCAGTAGGTGACGTACATCTGAAACTTGTCTGCCTGTAAACGGAGGCTGGCTCAGGGCTCTGTCCCGCAGTGCCCAGGGTCCCCGTGTCCCCTTGTGGGGGAAAGCTCTGGAAGCCGGCAGCCTGAGGGCCTGCCCACCCAGCCGGCTCCTCCCCAGGCTTGGAGCCCCGACTGCCCTGTCCTCAGACCATCCTACATTCCGGGCCGCGAGGGGGATGCCCGGAGGTGGGTCCAGTCTGCGGCGGGCGGGTGCCCCTGGGAAGGATCAACCACCCTCCCTCCCCCAGGGACAACAGCAAGGACAGCAGCTGGGGCCGTGCCAGTTACCCAAGTGACGAAGCAGTGCCCGACATCCTCCGGTAGCTGCTCATACTTCTCCAGCTCCTTGAGGAAAATGCTGTGGGGAACGAGAAGGGGACGGGAAAATGAAGGCGTCACCGGTGTGCCCGGCCAAACGCGTTACCCCTGAGAGACGACGGCAGAGACGGGGCATGAAGCCCCACGGCTCCGAGGACCGAGCTGGGGGCTTCCACGACTCCTAGGGTAGGGCTGGGAGCTCCCATGGTTCCTAGGGCAGGGCTGGAGGCTCTCACGGCAGAGCTGGGGGCCCCCACGGCTCCTAGGGCAGGGCTGGGGGCTCCCACGGCTCCTATGGGCAGGGCTGGGGGCGCCCACCGCTCCTAGGGCCAAGCGGGGGGCTTTCACTGGCACGGCAGAGGCCTCAGCCCGGAGCTCTATGTGTTCGGTGGCTGAGGGCCATGGTTTCAAGGCTGCGCTCGGAAGGAATCGCTGGCGTTTTAGGGCCTGCTGCTGGCCAGGGGCAGGCGAGCACGGGGGGACCCCAGGAGCTCTGGCCCCACTGTCCGCTCAGTCTGGTGATGGGGCCACAGGCGCTGCTCAAGTAGCTGTGCCCCGGCGATTTGCTTTTTACTGGGGGGATGGCGGGGCGGGGGAGAAGGGGTTGGGCCACACCTGGAGGTGCTGCGGCTGCGGCCTGGCTGATGGGGTTCCCCTGGGGCTCGAACCAAGGTTGACCGTGTAGAAGGCAAATGCCTTCGCCCACGTCTTCCTCCCTCCAGCCTTTACGGCTTAGATACAGACATTTTTAAGTATTGATCCTTGGGGGTGTGGGTGGTGGGCACTCCCGGCAGGGTCTGGGGCCCCGAGCAGCCAAGCCTGATGGCTGATGTGGTGGGGGCAGGAAGGAGCCCGGGTGCCACCCACGCGAGGCTAATGCTCTGCAGCGGGCCCTGGCTACGCTCCCGCCCCTGCCTCTTACATGCTGAGAACGGGCCCCACGCACGCGCGGCCAAGGCCGACGGCCCTTCCCATCAGCCCTCCGCACCCCCTAGGGCCTCGGTTCCTCCTCCCGCTGACCCGGAGCACCGTGGCCCGGGATGAGCGCGTGCTGGCATGTGGCTGTCGACAGCCCGGCCAGCCCGGGGGGTGGGGGCGAGCCCCCGCACTGTCTCTGGGTGTGAGCCTGCAAAGCCACTCACTTGTGGTGGAACTCGTAGATCTCCTGCATGTTCCCGAAGATGACCAGCTCCTTGTTGACGATGCCAGGGGGGATCTCCTCCACGCCGCTGGTCATCTCCCACAGGTATGTCTGCAGCAAACATGGGTGTGAGACAGACTCCGGGCACTGCCGCGCCCCACGCCCGCATGCACGCACATGCACACATGCACGCACACGCACGAACACACACACACGCACGCACACACACACGTGTGCACATGCACGCACACACACATGAACATGCACACACGCGCAGCTGGAAATGCAAACATCTCTCCTCAGAAGAAAAGAGAAACTTTGGCGTGGGTGTGAGAGTGCCTTAAGAAAACGTCCCTTGTAGGCAATGCATCCGTTTCTCTTTTGCGGGGGTATTAAGGGTGTACTCAGCAGTGCTCGGGGTTCACCCCGGAAGGGCTCGGGGGGTCTTACGCCATGCCAGGGTTGAACTTGGGTCAGCTGAGCCCTTGCTGCCAGTCAGCACCTCGTGAGTGTATTTGTGTATGTGTGTGTGTGCGTTGCATGTGTGTACATGCGTTGTGTGTGCAGCACAGGGCACACACAGATGCTCCACACGTCCCTGAAGCTATTCTGATTCCGAAGGGCCCACAGCAGCCAGGCTGCCCTGACGGGGGGGGGGGGAGGGGGCTGAGTCAGCACATCGTGGGGCCAGCCCTGTGAGCGCAGGGCCCCAGGGCCGCTGACCCAGCCCGCCCTGGAGCGTGGCCAGGAGCAGAGTCCCTGGGAATCAGGCGGGGGGGGGGGGGGGGGGCGCACGTACGTCCATGCACTCCCGCAGGTCCCTGACATAGGCCTTCTCCGTCTGGATCAGCTCAGCCATGATGAACCTGGAACACGGGCACAGTCAGCCGAGAGTGAAGCACTGGGCATGTCCAGCAGCTTCATGGATACTCCCTGTCCACGGATACTCCCGCTGTGGAGCAGCTCACAGGGGCACCAGGCACGGGCAGAGGCCAGGGCGGGGTGGGAGCCCGCACTGCGAGGACCCGCCTGCCATCATCTGAGTGCCAGCCCCTGGCCCTCGGCTGGCCTGTCCTCACTCAGGCCCTGGGAGACACGGGCACCCGCCCGAGGGCACAGGCACAGACAGGCCCCCCTCCACCTCCGGGCTCGGGCCCTCCCCCCACACAGCAGAAGGGGCGTCGGAGCACAGGGCTGCCTGCGTGTGTCCGGCCTCCCTGGCTCCCTGCTGCCAGAGTTCCAGCCAGGACGCCAGGGCGACAGAACAGCAGGGAAGGCGTCTGCTTCGGGTGCAGCCAATCAAGTTCAGTCCCCGGAGTCCCATATGGCCCCCGGAGCATTAAGAGAAGGAATTCCTGAGCACTGAGACAGGAGTGGCCTCCCCCATAAACAAACAAGAAGAAGAGCAACAACAACAAAACAGAGAAGGCCAGCAGGGTCGGGAGCCCAGCTCACTCTTTCCTGCGGGCCGACTTCCGCTTCTCCTCGTTCAGCTCATGAGCGGCATCCCGAAGTTTGACCTCAGAGCCCGGGATGCTGGCGGGGATTATGTCCAGCTGCAGACTCTTGCTCTGCGGGGCGGAGGGCGGTGAGCGCACCGGGCCGGGGCAGCTGCCCCGCCCCCTGCACACGAGAGCATCTACCGATTTGTTGGAGTCCGAGGAGATGCCCAGCGCTTTCTCCAGCGAGGTCCGGTACTTCTCCATCCGCAGGGAGAAGTCGCGGTACCGCTTATCCACGGCCGTCACGCATTTTTTGATCTCTGTGGCATGGGCATGCCCCTTTTCACAAAAGCCGTCCGCCAGCTGAATTAACAGCTTCACCCTCTCTTTGGTTTGCTGCAAAAACACAAACACGAGGGAGAGGATTGTGAGGCCCATGCGCCGGCCAGCCGGGCCGGACGTAGCAGCTGCCGGCCCTCAGCCCGAGAAGATTCTGGTTCATTCTACATTGCGTCCAACACAGCGATGCGGGGGCAGCCCACCTATCCACTCCCTGGCCCTCTGCTCACCCACTCTCCTGGACTGCCCCCAAACACCGCCTTTCTAACCCGAGAGAGAGAGAGAGGGGGGGGGGGGGCGGGGAGAGACCTAGTCGGTCTTTCTCTGCATCTGCCTCTGGTGAGACTCAGAAGAATGAACAGTAGAATGCAGCGTGTGTGTGTGTGTGTGTGTGTGTGTGTGTTTGCACGCACTCAAGAGCATGTGAGTGTGAGTGCGCGTGCGTACGAGAGGGAGTGTGTGAGCCCGGTACTTGTGAGTGTATGGCTGTGAGTTGATTGTACGAGTCTGAGTGTGAGAGTGGGAGTGTCTGCCTATGTGTACACAAGTCTGCATGTGTGAGTGAGCATGTGTGTGTGTGTGTGCGTGAGAGGGAGGCTGTGAGTGTGCCTGCATGCCTATGTCGAACGTGTCTGCACGTGCCTGTATCTGCATGTGTGTCTGAGTGTCTTTCCCTGACTTTCTCCGGCACAGCTGCACACAGGCCCTGCTCTGCCCCTGAACTCGGGTCAGTGCAGGGATGCGGGCGGGGCCCGGCCTGCATCAGACCCCAGCCCTCGCCGTCACAGGCGTTTGAGCCACTGCCCACCCACCGCCGTCCTCCACGTGGTCTGCGGGCCTCTCCCCGCAGAAGCGCCGTGCAGCCACATTGCATATCCCCAGCAAGTGCCCCCCAAGGCCCTCTGGCCTCTGCCACTCTGCTGACTGTGTTCACCCTGGCTTCCGGGCCTTCTGACCCCTGCCAATCCCCTGGCGGTGTCTATACTGGCCGCCTGGCCCACTGATCTTAGTTAATCTCCTGGCCGTGTTCACACTAGCCACCAGACCCTCTGACCCCTGCCAATCTCCTGGGTGACAGTGGAATTGGGGCAAGCCTGACCCACCCGTCTCCCACCCATAGTGAATGCGCGTCCTGAACACCGAGAAGCTGCTCTCTGTTCCCTTCCGGACGCCACGCGCCTGTCCCAGGCCAGCCCCCCAGTCACCCATCACAAAGCTGCCCTCGGTGGCCCCCTGCGCTCTGCCTTCTCTACGCCCCTCTGCCAGGCCGGGGGCGCCACACTTCCGGAAACTGACATGGGGCCCTGGGCAGCCGACCTGGGCTCAGTCCTGGATAGCCCATGTGGGCCCCTGAGCCTGTCAGGGTTTATCCTTGAGCACAGAGCCAGTAGTGAGCCCTGAGCACTGTCGGGTGTGGGCCCGAGTCAAACAAACAAAATAACCAAAATAAATACAAATTTTTAGGAAGGAGAAAAGCAAACTCTGGGCCTCCCCACCCGTTGCTGGTTCTGGCCCATGCCAGGCCATCTTCCAGACGTGCCTTCCGCACGCTCTGCTCCTGAGGGTTCCACACCTCCTGGCCTCTTCCTGGGTGAGCAGCGAGAAGGGGACAGGCGGCTGCTCTCTTCAGGTTCCGCCCCCTACCCCGCAACTGCTCAGGGGCCACCAGGTAAAGGTTCGCCCCAATTCTCTTGCTTCTTGTGTCTAGAAAAGCAGTAAACCTGGGCGCTGTACAGGTCACCCCCTCACAGCCTCCTCGAACAGCAAACACAGACCACGCAGCCCTTGCGACCACCTTCCACCATAAGCCAGCACCCCTGTGGCGACCTGAGGAGAGGATATCACCACCATGACACACCTGTGTGCAGGCGAGGCCCAGAGACCCGTCACAGGGACCAGATCCTTACCTGCAGCGGCAGGACCTAGGGCAGCCCCCGCGGTGCCTGCCTGAGACTGCCCACAAAGTGCCCACAGAGGCCAGTGTGCGGCCACTGGGCTGTACGCCGCCAGCACTGGAGCTGGGGTTCCAGGAAGGAAAGCAAGAGAGGTGTGGGGGCAGAGGCAGGTGCTGATAGGGAGCGGAAGGGCGCACCGAATCGCCAGGATACAAAATAGCCAAGGGCAGGATACAAAGGGATACAAAGTAGCGAGTGACTCCCAGGGAGCCTGGAAAAGCCAGTGAGGGGACAAACCCCACCTGGCATTTGGGCTCTTGGTAGCCGGACGCAGAACCTGCCGCAGGCAACTCACTTTCCCACCCTTGACCCTGACGGCACTTGGCCCCCTCCACGCGGGCCCTGTCTGGGAAGCCCCCCTCCTCCCAAGGGGCCACCTACCCCCAATCTTTGAGGGGCCCCAGGCTCAGGGGGTGCGTCTGAGTCTCTGCAGGCTTGGCCGTGGGGCGACGGGGAGGGAGGCGCCCACCCACTCGGGCTTGATCTACACCAGGTGGGTGTGGGTCTGACTTGCTGCCTTGGGGCGTGGTGTGGAAATGAGTCCCGCTCTACGGTCAGTGCACAAGGCGGGGCTGTGGCAGGGCTTGGGCCCAAGCAGGGCCAGGTCTGGGGCAAGGCCTGGGCCTGGGGCCTGCTTGGGTGGCTGGGGTGGGGCCTGGGCTGGGACTGTGGGCCTGCCTGCAGAGGGGCCTGCGGGGAGGGGTGGGGGCTGGGGCGGGCCTAGGGCAAAGCAGGGGTAGGGCGGGGCCAGAGTGGGGCGGGGCGGGGCGGGGCGGGGCGGGGCCTCCGGAGGCCTCACCTTGGCGGTGATCTGGAACTCCTCGTGCTCCTTGAGCAGCTCCTGCGTGTGCTGGAGGCTGGAGCCCGTGGACGTGTGGGTGGACAGGTAGAAGTCCCCGTTGTCGTGGATCCACTCCAGTGCCTGCGGGGGAGGTGACAGGTCAGTGCAAGTCATGGGGTCTTCTCTCAGGGGGCCAGGCTTCTGCGGGGGGTCGTCGGCCGGCATTTGGGAACAGGGTCACCGCAGAGAGCACTAGTGGGCAGGTGTGGGCTGGGAGACTGTCACTGGGCAAGCCCCGGTGGCCCGGCGGGGAGCTCTCCGCCTTCATTCCTGGGCCTGCTGCAGTGACCATGTGTGTGGGGGAGGGGGGGTGCCCCCTCACCACAGCCGGGAAACCCCCCTGCTGGGGCCAGCTGGTGAGGATGAAGCATCACACGGCCACACAGGTGCTGCCGTTGGTGCTGATGAAACAAGCAGAGCCATGCGGGCCACCTGGCTGACCCTCCGCGGGGGGCACAGTCTGAGCCCCTCCATCCCATCCCGCTTTCTCAGATGGGTTCCACAGGCTCACAGCTGCTGCGGCCTCTGGCCAGCCTCTCCCGGGGAGGCCACGCCCTGGGCCAGAAGCTCGGAGAAGTCGCCTCCTGCCTGCCTTCTGTGGTTTCAGCCACCCCCTGGGACTTCCGGGTCTCCCACGGCCACGGCCCCGAGGGACAGGCCACAGTGCTGGTAGCAGCTGGGACAAACACCGGCAGAAATGACAAGGGCGCCAAGGCCCACGTTAATCACAGCAGCTCGTTGGTCGGGAGCTTCCAGGGAGTCAGGCCGGGCAGCTGAGGGGGAGGCGCCTGGCGCTGGTCCTTGACCTCTGGAGGACACGGAAGGGGCAGGGTCGGTGCTGGGGGTGGGGGACAGGCTCAGGTGGGCTGGGGGCCTCCGGGACGAGGTGTGTAGAGGTGTGTCCGCTGAGGGGTCCTGTAGGCAAACTGACTGGAGGTAGGCGCAACCCGCTGGGAGGGGCTCGGGGTGCAGACCCCCTCTCCACACCTGGTGTCTCAAGGGCTCCGGCCAGCCTTCCTGGGAGCTGCAGATCCGAGGCGGGAGCTCAGGGCCGGGAGACGCCGAGCATGGGTGGGGGGGCGAAGAGAGAAGGGATCCGGCGCCCAGGAGCACCCACAGGAGGGAGCCCACACTCAGGGAGACGCTCGGGAGGGGCGGGGCCGGGGGCGCAACATATGCCGACACTGTCCCTGGGGTCAGCAGGACCCCAACATCCGCACAGACCAGACTCCGACAGGCTGGGGATGTGGCTGGGAGGGCAAACAGGCCGGGAGTGTTTCTGGCCCTGGGGCAGCTCAGAGGGGCTGCAAGGCCAAGGGGCCGGCCCTGCACGCAGCAGGCCCGGGTTCTGTCCCTGGCCCCACATGCTCCCTGATGACCATCTGCAATAGCCCCAGAGCACAGAGTCAGGAGTCAGCCTGGAGCCTGCCGGGTGTGACCCCCAGGAGAAAGAGCTGACTTGGGGAAGGGGCCGTACGCCCTGTGAGCTCTCTGCCAAGTGGCCCCTACTCCTAGAAGGAGCAGGGACAAGCCCCAGGGGCTGAGGCCTCCGCAGGCCATGGACACGGAGCTCTGTCGGAGCCATGGGCACCGGGCGGCCGCCATGAGAGGCAGCAGGTCCCTGGGACACGCAGAGGGCCCTGGGGACGCAGGTGGTGGCCACAGCAGGACCAGCGCGGGGCGAAGGTGACTGGAACACCGACCCCTCTTCCTAGCGGCTGTGCGTGAGGCCAGCCCACCTTTCCGGCCGCCCAGGACGGGGGCTTAGGGGCTGGGGGCCTCGGCTGCGGGGGGTTCTTGCTGACTCGGCTGGAGGACAGATTTCCAGGGAGGGGGGCTGCAGAGTAGTCTTCTTTTCTTTTTTAAATTCTGAAGAGCAGGTGGCAGGCAGCTAAGCAGGAGCCCCTCTGAGCGACGTGTCTGAGCGAGTTCTGCCCCAAATGATGGAGCATTTGGGGCCCGGGGGATGGTCCCATGACAAGGGCCTGCGTCCCGGCCGCTGCTTGCAGGGTGACTCAGGACAGCCCTCGGGGACACAGCGCAGGGAGCTCCGTGTCTCGTTGGGGGTCAGCCCGACTCTCCCATAAAACGGCCCTACCCGTGACCCGAGCAGCAGCCTGGCCACGGCGGTGCCTCAGGCCCCTGACGCTAACATCACCCCACAGCCAGCGCGTGTCCCTGTCCCTGTCCCTCCGGCCTCTCCATGGAGCGAAGGAAGCCGCAGCCAGGAAGCCGGCGGGCTCCACGCGGCCCACGCCAGCGGATCAAACCTGCGTGTGGTCCCACGCCCTCCCCGCTGGGGCTCAGAGAGGCAGTAGGCGGCGTGGAGCTCACCTGCTTGGCGCTGCGCTCGAAGACCACGTACTGCTGGCACTGGTCCAGCCGCCGCTTCCGCATGGTCCAGTAGTGCAAGACCCTGTTCTCCCGCTGGAAGAGCTCGTTCAGGATATCTGCGGCGACAGGGGACATAGGCACTGGGACACAGGGGCGGCCGCCCCCGAGCAGAGCGAGTCCACACCGACCCGGCTACCGGCTTCCCGCGGGAGCCGACCTGCTGACCCCCTCCCCCACCTGCCCCTGCTCAGTGTCGTGTGTCGGTGGCGGGGCATGGGTGGAGGGACAGTGTTGTAGCTCAGGGCTACTGCAGCCTCCGCGGCCGGTAGGCTGTCTCCGGAGGTGCTGGATGCCCTGGTGCCCTGGGCTCCCCCCAGCTCCAGAGGGACCCTCAGCCCTCCTGGGAACCGCACAGCCCACCTCGTCTTGAGCAGGCTGCCAGAGAGAAGGGGTCTCTCCCGCACCTCGGTGGCCGTCAGGTGCTGACATACAAGAGCAAATGGAGTGTGCGTGCGCGCGCGCACCTGAGTATGTGTGTGTGGGGGGGTTGTGTCTAGTGAGCCTGGCACAATCTCCCCCTCTCTCACACACGCAGCTCCGAGGGGAGGGGAACAGACCCGAGAGTCACCCGCAGTAGGACGGGAGAGACATGGAGGGAGAAGAGCTTTACTACAAACTGGGCAAACGCAAAGAGCGTGCGTGAATGGCGGTGAGACCTGCGGGGAGATGCGGAGACATCTCTCTAAACTCCGAGTCGGAGGCGCTGAGCCCCGGGAGCGTGCCTGGAAGGACTGCAGCAGCAGCAGACTATTCTGGACCGGCTGTGAGCCGCTGACCAGTGCTCTGGGCATCTCCCGCGACAAGAAAATCACCTTGTCACCAATGGTGGACGTGATCGCGGCCGCGGCCACGACCGACTTCCCTGCCGCAGCCGGACGGAGCGCTGGTGCCGTGGCCACCCTCAGCCTGCTCAGCACTTCTGTCTCCGTGTCACGTCTGCCGACTTCACGGCGGCCCGCGTTTACAGGGCGACGCTCCCCCTCCTCCACCCCCGCCCATTCCGGCCCGCAGAGCTCACGCGGAGCTTCTCGCTCGTTCCCACGCACCTACTTCTTCACGTGCAGTGACGTGGCACCCCGTGTTCACAAGCTTTTCTGTTTGTTTCTGGCTTGGGGGCCACACCTGGCGGTGCTCAGGGGACCGAGAACCCAGTAGGTGCCAGGAAAGCACCTTGATCTCCGTGCCACCTGACCGGATGTCACTCCCCGGGCGGTCACGGAGCCGTGGCCAGATGCAGGGGCGCGCCAGCTCTCACTGCGCCTGCACCTCGGGCTGCTCGCGGGGCGCTAGGGCCCCCACTCTCCCCCCTCGGGCGGGGTCTGCCCCACACACTCACCCCCAGCCCGCCCGCCCGCGTGTCCGGTCACTCACTTTTCACCTGCTGCTCGGGGACCTTGGCGTGCGTCACCATGCCCGGCATGTTCACGCTGTTCCGGTGCAGGTATTTGAGGAACACGTCCGCGTTCCTCCTGGCCAGTGTGCAGGCCTGCGGGAGAGACAGCCCCAGCGGGGTGAGTGCGGCCAGCCAGGACCCCACTGTGGCCACCTGTGGAGAGGCTACGGAGGGGGTCGGGGGTGGGGGCGGCACCTGGCCCGCAGCTGACTGGTGATCTGGGGGCAGGCTCTGGTGGGGATGCTCCTGGGCCTGCTGGCTGGGTGAGCACACGGGCCCCCCACAGAGGGCAGAGCCTGGGTGGGGAGGCTGGCGGGGTCCCCACGCGAGGGAGGCGGGCAAGCAGGAGTCGAGGGGGAAAGGAGTGAGCACGGATCCCGGCTGTTGCAGGGCGGGCCGTGGGGCTGCTTTCTCCCTGATCTGGAACTGGGGCCACCTTCCTTCAGAGGCTCTATCCGCTCAGGACACGCCGCTCAGGGCCCGTGTGTGTGCGTGCGTGCGTGCGTGCGTGTGTGTGTGTGTGTGTGTGTGTGTAAAAAGAGAACATGTGAGCTTACTGGTGCTGGGCGGATCTCCAAAGCACAGACACTCTGGCCTCCTAGCAAAGGAAGCTGGCCAAGCAGGTAATTATTTTATTATCACTTGTTTTTACCGTTCTACCAAGACTCCCTTCTTAACTATACCAAGTGGGCACTTAATTTTTGTTTGACGAAAGAGACTTCATAGGAAGACGTAAAAACCATCATTCTCCCGAATGGGAAGTTCCCCCAACCTGTTGGTGCTGGGTACCCTAAACTGTGGAGACCCAGACAACTGCCCCCCATTTCCCAGACAGGTGGACCCGCTGATCCCTGTGGGCCAAGGCCCCAAGGGAGCGAGGAAGCGGAGAGAAGTTTCAGGGCCAGGCTGAACGTCGGCACCGTCGGGACAGACAGTGAGCGACCAGAACAGGGCCAAAGTCACCGACTGTCTCGGGGAACGGGTCGGGACGGCAGAGGGCTGTGTGGGGAGGTGTACCTGGAACAGTCCCGCAGACCCTGGGAGCCCCTAAAGAGCCGAAGCCGCTCCAAGGCAGGACCCCCCTGGGCCCACTGACGGGAGCCTAGAAACTCCACCTGAGGCCTTTCGGAGGTCCTGAAGGGCAGCCTGGCCCTAGGCGCTCAGACGGCCCAGCGGAAACGTGTCCTGAGAGGCAGAGCCGGGCCCAGAAGCGCAGGGGGACCTGCTGCCCACCCCACCCCGAGGAATCGGGGTGCCCCGCCAGCCCCCACCTTCAGGAACGCCTCCTTCTGCTCCAGATGCTTGCTGATCATGGGGGTGACGTGGTCCGTCTCGGAATTGGGGCCCAGCTTGTCGGCGCCCCCACACCAGTCCTCCTCCCGCTTGTACTCCTGCTCCAGGCTCTCCAGGACGCTGCACACCTGCGGCCGGCGCGGGGGAACGCTCAGTGCCGGGGAGGAGGGCCAGGGCGGGACCCTGGGGAAGGGGCACCGACGCATTTCCACGCTCGGGAACGAGCTCCGGCCAGGTCAAGGGGAGCTGAGACTGGGGCGCGGTGGGTGCAGAGGACAACGCACACGCGGGCCCAGCCCGCTTCCCAGTGACGACCAGCGCCTGGCACGGCTGCACCTCCCGCTTCAGACAGGTGACCCCCGCCCCGTCTCTGTCTCTCCCGCTCTTCATCTCTCTCTCCCCCATCTTTCCTTCTCCTCATCTGTCGCTCCCACTCTCTCCCTCCCTCCGTCTCTCTCCCACTCAACCTCTCCCCCTTCTCTCTCCTGTCTCTCCTCTCTCCCTCCCTTTCAATCTCTCCCTGTCTCTCTCTCTCTCTCTACTGTCTCTCCCTCTGTCTTCCCGTCTCTCCTCTGTCTCTTGACAAGTGTCTGGTGTGCAGGGCTGAGGGCACTGAGGGCCCCAGGTCTGTCCCTGCCGCTTCAGCCTGTGTCGCAGAGCCGAGGGGAGGAGGGGCCCCTCTCGGGGGGCCGCACCTGCTCGGAGGTCTTGTAGAAGGCCACGGAGGCGTTGACCAGCTTGAGACGGTCCTCCATCTTCAGCATGAGCTGCTGCCAGTGCGAGGCCACCTTCTCGGCGCAGTCGCGGATGGTGTCCATGTCGTAGTGGCCGGCCTGCAGCATGGCCTCTGCCTTCTGCTGCACCTGCAGGGCGCTCTGGTGCGTCTTCTGGAACGGAGATGGGGGTGCCCATCAGGGCCCGGCGGGGAGAGGCCTGGCGGCCAGTGTGCCGGGGTGGCACCCGCCCGCCCGCCGGTCCTGCCTGTCACGGCCGCCTGGGCCAAGGGGCCAGAGGACCTCGGGTGGCAGACGGAACGCACCCGAGTTTCACCTCCACCTTCCACGCTTAGGGTGAGTACGGTGGGCTGAAGGGCTAGGGGTTTTTTTGGTTTTGCATTTCCTTTTTTTTTTCTTTTTGGGTCACACCCAGAGACGCTCAGAGGTACTCCTAGCTCTGTGCTCAGGAATTACTCCTGGTGGTGCTTGGGGGACCATATGGGACGCTGGGAATCAAGCCTGGGTCGGCTGTGTGCAAGGCAAAGGCCCGCCCTGCTGTGCTCTCACTCCGGCCTGGAGTTTTTAAACAAGGGAGGCGCAGACTATTCTCACTCAGGGCCCACCTCGTTCGGCAGGAGCCTGCTTGTGGCCTCTCGAAAAGGTCCTGCGGGGATGGGGGGCAGGTGCTCCAGGAGGTACAGGTGCCAGCGGGGGGCCCAGGGTCCAGGCACACATGTGCCCTCGCCCTGTGCCTAAACGCGGGTTCTGAGAAGTCCTTGGAAACACGTCCCAGGGGCTGGGAAGGAGAGGGCTGGGCCCCAGACCCAGGTTCTGTCCACGTGGCCCTAGAAGCCCTCAGGACTGCTGGCTAACTGTGCTGGTCCCTCTCAGCGCATGCGCGCACGCGCACACACACACACACACGCACACACACACAGCCCCACTGACTCCTGGGAGCCCAGCCAGGGGAGTAGAATGGACACATATACCCGCTGGTCACAGCAGGACAGGACACACACACACCACACACGCCACACACACACACACACACACCCTCACCTCGATGGCATGCTGGAACTGCTCGTGCTCCCGCTGCAGCTGCTCGGCCTCCTGCAGCGAGCTGGCTGTGATCAGCCCGGCATTCAGCATCGACTCGCCGTTGCGAATCCAGCCCAGCACCTGAAACACAGGCAGCCCCCTGCAGCTTCCCAGCGGCCCTGCTGGGTGTGGCGGGGGCCCAGAACACACCGGCGGCTCCCCTGGGGGTTGGGGCAGGGTCGCTCACGGAAGCCCCCGGCACCCTCTTCTTTAAACCCTGTTACCCTGCAGCCTTGAGGGTGCCGGGGCCCGAGTTCTCCCAGGGTTCTGCTCCTTCCCACTGTAAGTGGGAGCCAAGAGGATGCAGGGCCCAGTGGGTGGGGACGGTCACGAGGAAACTGGTCGACAGCTCCCCAGGGGCTCAGGGGAAGATGCCCTGGGCTCCTGCGAGGGCGGCAGCCCTGCACGTGGCCGGCCTGTGCTTGGGGCCCTGGAGCACGCAGCCAGGAGTCAGCCCCGAGCACTGCGGGTGGCTCCCCGCCTCCGTCCCGCACCCCAGTACGAGGAGAGTGATTCCATCTCACTGACGCGACCCCCACCAATGCAGGGGTGAGGGACCAACAGGGCCTGGGCGCGGGTGCTGAGCCCGGTCGACCCAATCCTTCGCACCACACACGCACACATGGGTCGACGAGCACATGCATGCGGCCCATCGCCCGGCCGCCCGCCTACCTGCTTGACCTCGGCCTGCAGGTGGCGCAGCTGCACGCACTGCTCCAGGTGCTTGCGGTGCTGCTCGGCCGCCACGTCCAGTTCCTGCTGCTTCTCATGCAGGAACTCCAGCAGGTCCTGCACGCGCGTGGCCATGTCCACGTCACGGTCGCACAGCAGCTCCACGCCTGCGGGCAGCGAGCACGAGCCTGAGGGCCCACCCAGGACCCCCGGCACTGAGCCCGGGTCCTGCTGGTCACGGGGACACGGGACCCCCACAGAGGGGGCTGGGCCGTGAGGGCTCCCACTGCCACTGTCCTGCGCGTCCCCAGCAGAGGCTCGGGGGCATCCACAATGGGCCCGGGAGGAGGAGTGCAGGGGCGGGCGTGCAACGCCTCTGAAACCAACGACATACGGCGTGTGTGTGTGTGTGTGTGTGTGTGTGTGTGTGTGTGTGTGTGTAGCGACACCTGCTTGGTGAGACGGCAACTAAGGCAAGGCAGAAAGGGGGAAGGGGGCCCAAGGGCGGCAGGCTGGGATCTGCAGCCAGACTCCGTGGCCCAGGTGGTGCTGCCTAAGATTAGTTGAAGGAGCAGCACAGTTCGACCGTGGCCGTGCTGAGCTGGGCTGGGGCTCCGGTGGGCCCGTACCGGCACCCGATGTCCCGCCTCCAAGCGGCGCCGGGCCGAGCCCTGGAGGCCGCGAGCTGCCCCCGCCCCCCAGTCCAAATCGAAGGCCGCCCTGGCCGGCTGCCCGTGCAGCTTACCCGAGGCCTGCACCTCGTTCACGTACTGCAGCAGGTCCTGGCCCTGGTGGATGACGTCGAAGGTGAGGTTGTTCATGGTGAGCGCCTTGTCGGCGTGGTGCTGCAGCCGCTGCTCGGCCAGGGTGAGGTCCTCCGTGTCGAAGTCGCTCATCTGCTGCGACAGCTCGTCGTTCCACGACTCCAGGTCCGAGATGATCTGGCGGGGGGAGGGGAGGGGAGGGGAGCGGTCAGCACCCTCCGCTGGCTCCCCCTGGCCGGGTGCAGGCGGCTGGCGCCACAGGACACTGGAGTGCTGAGGACTGACTCACCGGGCAGGGCCAAACCGAGAGAAAGCCCAGAGGATAGAGAGACAGAGATGGAGACGGAGACAGAGACAGAGAGACAGAGATCGAGGGACAGAGACACAGAGACAGAGATGGACAGAGAGAGCGAGAGAGAAAGTAAGAGAGAGAGAGCGAGCGCACGCTGCTGGTGCCCAGGGCTGCCTGTGACCTGAACTCTACAGTCCGGTGACAACAGGACAGGCCTTGCTGCTCGAGCAGGCACGGCCGACGCGAGGGGCCCTCTTTCGGGGTGAGCGCAGCAACTGAGTGACTCGGGCGGTTCCCCAGCATTCCCCTTTGGAGGTCCCAGGACGCTCACTGCTCTGACGATGGTCAGACACGGATCAACGACCGCCAGGAATGCTGGCAGGGAATGAGGAGGGTCAGGCCAGCCCCGGCTAACACCCGGTCAGCCGGGGCGCCTGGTGGGTCTGTGGGTAGAGCTGGGGGCTGACGGAAGGGTGGATGGACGGGCACAGCCTGTGGGCGTTTGTGCAGACGTGCCCGGACCTCACTGCTCTGGGCCCCGCGCCCGTGTGTGTGCCTGGGGCAGGGGCTGCATGGGCAGGGGGCACGGGCCAGGCAAAGGCCCCGCTGTGCAGTGCAGGGTGGACGAAAGGCCGAATTCTTGGACAAGCCAAGGCTGGGAAGGGCAGGGCGGCAGTCCTTGCAGAGAGGCTGACAGGCTGACAGTGTGTGCAGGGCCCCGGGGAGGGAGGGAGGCCTCCGTGCTTCAGAGGGACCAGGGCAGGCCCTGGGGTGTGGGGGGATGGGCTGAGGATTCCTGCTACTGCCTGAGGTGAGGGCAGGTTCCTGAGGCGTCCCTACTGGCTGAGTAGGGCTGAGGCTTTCCTTCTCTTTTGGGGGGTGGGGGAGGTGCTTGGGTCACATCCAGCAATGCTCTTCCCCGCCTGCTGGGGGTCCGCATGGGTGCCAGCACCTCGACCTCCTGACTAGCTCTGCCCCCACGGCATGGATCTCGGGACACAGGCCGGTGACCGTCCAGTGGACAGGGTATTCGCCTTGCACGCACCCAACCCAGGTTCCATCCTGGCACCACTGACGGTTCCTGGAGCTCTGCCAGGAGTGACCCCCGAGGGTGGCCCAGTAAGGCCCCCAAACAAAAACAAACAGATGCCGGCCGGGCTGGGGAGGGAGCCGAAAGGCTGAGCCCGGAGCTCTCCCCCGGCCTGGCAGGACCCCAGAGCACTGGTCGGTGGGGCTGGCCCCCGGCTCCATCACCGTCCCCAGCCCGCCCGGCTGGCAATGTCGCCCCGAGAGAGGAAACAGAAATAACCAAGACCCAGGGCTGTAAACTAAACCCCAGAAAGCAGCGTGAGCTTCTTGGAAGAACGCGCTATGCTTCGTGTTGAAATGGCAAACGTTCCCTTGGGCCCCACTTCCTGTATCCAACACTGGCACGAGCGTCCAGCACGTGAGAACCCCAGAGCCCGGCCGGCAGGGGGCGCCGGGCGACTCACGTCGATGGCGTCGCGCTCGAAGATGCGCAGCTGCAGGAAGAGCTCCAGCTTGATCTTGCGCTCCTGGAAGAGCTCCTCCATCTGCGCCTGCGCCTCGTCCAGCTGCTGCAGCACCGTCTCGATGTGACTGATGGAGCTGTTGTGCGGCGTCTTGTTGCTGGAGATGGCCGAGTCCCTGCGGCGGGCACGGCAGGTGACTCACCCGCACACCTGCACACACGCACACGCACACGCACACGCACACACACACACACACTCACACGTAGCTGCTTCCCACGTGGCCCAGAGCTGGGCCAGCCAAGGACAGCTCAAGCCCACGAGCTCCCAGAGCAACCCCCGCTGCTCACGCAGAGAGCGGGGGACCCACCGCAGCCTCGAGGGCCGGGCAACAGCTCGATCGCGGCCGTGCCCCCCACGTGCAGGAAAGCGTGTGTAGTCGCACTGCGAGCCAGGACAGCCTGGCCCAGGCGAGAGGGCCGGGGCCTCCCGCGTCCCTCGGCCTTCCTCCTGGGGACAACACCCGCGTCCCTCGCCCCTCCTGGGGGCACCGGGCAGGGGACACAGCCTGGCCGCGGGGTTCCGGGGGCGGGGCGGGGCTGGGGGACCAGGCGCCCACCTCAGCTGCTGGATCAGGTCCTCGCCCTCCTTGATGACGTTCACCGTCACCTGCAGGGTCGTCTGCTGCTGCTGCCCGAAGCGCTTGATGAGGTCCTGCACGGCCTCCACCGACTCGGCGTACACGTCATCCAGCAGCTCCTTCTGCAGCTCCTCCAGCCACGTCCACAGCTGGGGGCGGGGACGCACGGTGAGGCGCGCAGGCACTGACTCGCGCACACAGGCACACGCACGCACACTCGTACGCACACTCATACACGCAGAGGCACATGTGCACGGACCTGCCGCGAGTCAAAATGTCAGTACAGCCTGACCTGCGATTTAAGAATTAATCTCTTGGGAAAATGTTAAACTACATTGTGCAGGGCTGGAGCGATAGCACAGAGGGTAGGGTGTTTGCCTTGCAACATGGCCAACCCGAGTTCGATTCCTCCACCCCTCTCGGAGAGCCTGGCAAGCTCCCCGTGACGCATTCGATATGCCAAACACAGTAACAAGTCTCACAATGGAGACGTTACTGGGCCTGCTCAAGCATATCAATGAACAACGGGAAGACAGCGACAGTGACAGTGACATTGTGTAAGTTTCTGAGGTATGCCCAGGATGAGTGCCATGAGCCCACCGCTAGGACTCACGCCACGATTTACTGAAAATCTGCATGCTTTGTTAATTCCCCATTTCGTCTACTTTCTCATGTAATCAATTACAAAAGGCTAGCTTGGGAGAAATAAATTTGGAGCTTGATCAGAGTCTGAACTCGCTCCCGTTCTTCTGTCTCTCTCCTTTTTCCCACTCGCGCACCCTCTTCCGGTTACCCACGTTGATTAATCCCACGGGTCGGGGGCACGCACCCTGTCACACCCAGTCACACGTGCATACACAGACTCAGACGTGCACGTACACACGCACTCACACGCACCAACTCATGCATCACACACGTGCTATCAGGCAATCTGAGATGAGGGACACCTGGGTACTCCCACGGCTCAGTGCCCATCAGGTCACCAGCCGTGGTCCTGTGCCAGCTCACTGGCCTCTCGATCTTCTCCCACAGTCACCCGATGGATCACCAAGAGGAAGGGGGCCGCACGGAGGCCGGGGGCCATTGCCGCGTGCCGGCCAGTTCCCAGGTGGGAGAAGCCACAGACGGGGCCGGCAGCCCTGACAGTTCACGGACCCCAGAGGTCACCGAGTTCCCGGGACACTGAGCTTTCCACAAGCCGCCACCGAGCAGACTCAAAGCTGCTGATGAGACTCCTGGGAAGGCACCGGAGAGCCGCATGGCGCGTCCACTGCCTGACGGGACTCTGGACCGAGGTACGGTGCAAGCCGACACAGAGTGAGCGAGCACGGCGGGGGCGGGGACGGGGCCACAGGAGCGGAGAAGGGGGGAGCCCAAGAGTCCTGCCCCTGGGGCAGAACCGCTGGGTCTGACCCCGTGACACCCAGCTGGTCCTTCCCATGAGCCTCTGTTCCAGCTACACAGGCCATGCAGACCCACACATGAAGGAGTCACACAGGAAGATACAGACACGTCCAGACACACCAGCAGATACAGAGACACGGACACACACCAAGAAACAGACACACACAGACACGGACACACACACACGGGCACAGGACCGGGGTGACCGCAGCACAGAGAGCTGCAGGGGGCCTTGCTCCTGCTCTGACAGTAGCTGTGGGGCACCTGGGGAAGGTGCCCCGGCCCGGCTGTTTCTCTGTGTCACAGTCAGCCTAACAATAAAAACCTGAAGCAACAGCCAGGCGGGTTCTGCTTAAAAGCTGGAACGAGGGGCTGGAGCGATAGCACAGCAGGTAGGGCGTTTGCCTTGCATGCAGCCGACCCGGGTTCGATTCCCAGCATCCCATGTGGTCCCCCGAGCACCACCAGGAGTAATTCCTGAGTGTATGAACCAGGAGTGACCCCTGTGCATCGGCGGGTGTGACCCCTCCCCTCCAAAAAAATAAAAGCTGGGAACGATTTGATGGTGGGGAGGGCACTCCCCTTGCACACGGCCGGCCCTCGTTCCATCCTTGGTACCCCATATGGTGCCCTGGGCCCACCGGGGTGATCCCTGAGCACAGAGCCAGGAGTAAGCCCCGAGCCCCACCAGGTGTGGCCCCTGAACACAAAACAAAAGTAACCTACAAGGGGCCGGAGGGACAGCACAGCGGGGAGGGCGGTTGCCTTGCGTGCGGCAAACATGCAGGCTCGGGCTGGAGCGATAGCACAGCGGGTAGGGCGTTTGCCCTGCACGCGGCCGACCCGGGTTCGATTCCCAGCATCCCATACGGTCCCCTGAGCACCCCCAGGAGTTATTACTGAGTGCAAAGCCAGGAGTAACCCCTGTGCATCGCCAGGTGTGACCCAAAATGTGGGAAAAAAAAAAGTAACATACACATGTCTGGGAAGGTCCGTGTGCAGGGGCAAAAACAGAAGTGAAACAAGCAAAGCCCCTTCCAGGCGACAGACAGACAGACGGACAGACAGACAGTGGTGGGCAGGACCCGGGCTCTGCACCCAGGAGCCAAAGTTGGAGAGTGAGCAGCACCGACTGTCCGGGTGCCCAGCCGCGTGGCCGGCGGGCAGCCAAGGCCGAGTCCGGGGAACTTCGGCCGTCCCAGAACGCTGCCTCCAGGGCACAGGCGTCTCCGTGGTCACACGCACACGGGCAGCAGTGCCTCTCTCAGGGGGCCGAGGGACCCCGTGATCCTGGGCGGCAGTGCCCCCGCCCCCGTGCCCCATGCCTGGCGCTCACCTCCTTCACGTGCGTGTGGAAGGACACCGACATGTCCAGCAGCACCTTGCGCTGCTCCACGCGCCGCACGAAGTCCTGGATGCGGTCCTCCAGCTGGTGGGCCGCCTGGTAGATCTCCTCGGGGTCGCACTCGCCCGTCTGCGCCAGCTGCTCGGCCGCCTCCAGCAGCTTGTCGGCGTTGGTGTAGGTGTTCTGGGCGGGAGGGCGCGGGCATGGCCCGGGTGAGGAGCGGGCATCCGGCCTCCGGGCTCGCCCCGCCTCCCCTCCCCTTGTGCGACAGGGCGGGCGCCGAGTTCCAGGTTCCTGTCTTTCAGGATGACGAGCGAGCCCCGGGCAGGGCGCAGATCACGGGGGGGGGGGGGGGGGGGGGGGGGGGAGCTTCAGCACCGGCTAACATTCAGCTCAGGAGTTTCCACGCAAAGGCGCATGCTTTTGGGTTTCTTTTTTTCCCCCCTTGGAGGAAAAAGCACCTTTCAAAACGGACCCCCGAAACCCAGCCAGAGGAGCTCAGCCTGCAGACGCGTCTCTGTGCGGCCTCGGTGCTTGGTGGGCGGCTGTGGCCGGGCGCGGGGAAGTGAAACCGCAGGAGCCGCAGGGCCAGTGGGACCCCGGCATGAAGTGGAGCTACTCACTTCCTGGGGGAATCCCTCGGCAGCTGCCCCTCCCCCTCTGCTCAGGGCAGACCCAGGCTTGCGCGGGGAAGGGGTACACGGTGGGTCTGCAGCGCGGGTGTGTGTGTGTGTGTGTGTGTGTGTGAGCCTCTCCATCTGGGGGCGGGGTGGGGACCGAACAATTCCCCCACTCAATCCCCAGGAGCTGTGACAAGCTCACAGGCCTCCACAAAGGTCCTCAGCATCGAGGGCAGGAAGCGGGAAGCGCTGAGAGGCCAGGATAGCTCGGGGGCCGCAGCGGCCCCTTCCCACGGGACGCTCTAGGTGGAAGGAAGTTACTCGGCCCAGAGGCGCTTGGGGGGCCCCCACCCCACAGCTGCATGGGGCCTCACGAGCGCATACCCCGCCTGCTGAGCCCACGAGAGGGTCTTCCAGTTCCTGCCCCAGTGGCACCCGCTTCTCTCTGATGCAAACTCCAGGCGGGCCCTCAGGCCCTGCTGCCTGACCCCGCCCAGGAATGGGAAGCCCCTTCCCGAGCTGCACAGCTGTACTGAGGCCGGCCAGGGCTCTGCTCCCTGCGTCCCGCACTCCTCGGCGTCCCCGACCACCCACGGCTCAGAGAACTGGCTTTGGCCCCAAGGAGAGGTACAAGAACCCCTGGGTTCAGTGCAGTGACAGTCCCTGAAGTGGGGAGCCACAGCTGGGAAATGAGAGACGGCACAAGCACCCGAGACAAGGGGCCGGAGCAATAGCACAGCGGGTAGGGTGCACGTGGCTGACCCGGGTTCGATCCCTGGCATCCCTTAAGGCGGTCCCCTGAGCACCGCCAGGGGTCATTCCTGAGTGCAGAGCCGGGGTAACCCCTCAGCATCGCTGGGTGTGACCCCAAAAGCAAAACAAATAAATAAAAGAAACACCGGAGACAAGCAGGCTTCACGGGCACGCCCCGCCTGGCGGGCCCAAGGACTGAGGCCTCCCCCCAGAGCCTGCCCCCCCTCACCTGTGCCACCTCCTCGAAGTCCTCGTGGCGCTTCTGCAAGGCGCGGGCGCGGTGCAGCGACTTGCCCACGCCCGTGTGCTTGCTCAGAAAGGCCTCGCCGTGGTTCTCGATCCAGTCCAGCACCTGGGGGAGGTGCGGGAGGTGAGCCCTCGGCTGGGGTCCCTGGGACGCCTGTCTGGTGCCCGTGGCGTCCCCAGCTCTTTCTCGCTGCCACTCAGGCCAGCACGGGCATGCCCAGCACTCTCGCCTCCCAGGACATGGCGTGGTCCCACAGCCACAAAGGGGGCACTGACCACACCCAGGGGCTCGGGAGTAACCCCTGGCCGTGCCCTGGAGGCCTAATGTGGGGCTGGGGGGGATGGAGCCCGGGCTGGCCGGACGCGGGGATGCCGTCCCTCCTGCACCTCTGCCAAGCCCGCTCCTGGGTTCCCCGAGGACAAAGCCTCCCGCCAGGCCCAGGTGCGAGGCCAACGGGCGCTTTCTCTGGATTTCCTTTGGAAGGTCCAGTTCGTGCGCGTGAATGCCGGCTTGGCTGTTTTTCCATCTTTCCTTTAGAAGCTCGGAATGTTCCCGTGAACACTGGCTCTGAGGAGCACCTTCCTCTGAGCCACAATGCCGGAGGGCTCAGCGTGCTATCAGGCCCCCTCACCTGGGGCTGGCGGCTGCCACCCATCAGCAGGAGAGAGCCCCAGTGAGGCAGACGGCCCCGAGGAGGCGGGCTGACACCCGGAGACCTGACTTGGTGGAGGCCTCAGAGCGGCAACCACGCCCACTCACCTCCTGGGCACTGACGGAGGACCCGTGACAGGAGTGTGACTGAGTCTCGGTGTGGCCCAAAGTATAGGTAGCCTCCAGGTACAGGGTTATGAGCCTGGCCAAGCCCCCCCACCGTCAGACTTGGGTGGGTGGGGTGGGGGGGGGGCGGGAGAGGCATTGGGGCCATGGGGCTCCCCCAGCTCTGGGCTGGACAGAGACGAGCGGTTGGCAGGACCTCCTCAGTCCGGGGCTCCAGGCTGTACCCCCCCATGCCAACTTGCCCGCAGGGACTGTCTGTACCCCCTGAAAGCCGGGGGACGGGGCTCCAGACACCGTCCAGAGAGAGGCCATGGCCAGAGATGGACGGTATGCCTGGGCCTAGAGCCGCCGCCGTGCCCATGTCGTGGCCACTCCCAGGGGCCAGTCTGAGGTGGGAACATGTCCAGGTCTGATGGTGTGTGTGTGCGTAGGTGGGAACATGTACCATTCTGATGCTGCGTGTGTGTTAGTATCTCTGAGTGTGCAATAAGGTAAGAACACATAAGGGTCTGATATATGTATACGTGAGGGTATGGTGTGACACTGTCACTGTCACCCCCTTTGTTCATCGATTTGCTCGAGTGGGCCCAATAACGTCTCCATTGTGACACTTGTTACTGTGTTTGGCGCATCGAATATGGCACGGGTAGCTTGCCCCAGGCTTTGCCGTGCGGGCGAGATACTCTCAGTAGCTTGCCGGGCTCTCCGAGAGGGGCGGAGGAATTGAACCTGGGTTTGCCAGGTCGGCCACATGCAAGGCAAACGCCCTACCCGCTGTGCTATCACTCCAGCCTGTGATGTGATGTGACACATACATGTAAAATTACAGCTGTAATCTGGGGGTGTACATGTGTATGAAACACGTAATATGTAATGCAGGGGAGGTGGCACATGCATGTACCTGGTGTGATATGCATGCCTTAATGCACACTGTGCTATTGTAGGCATATTGTATGTGCAGAACATACATGTAGATGTGTGGTTCGTTACGTGCTGTACATGTGTGGTGTGTGTTTGAGGTGGTAGATGATGTGTCCATGAGTGTATGGTGTACATGTGTCACTGTGTGTGATGTCAGTGGTGTGACGAGGTAGAGAAGTGCGCTATGTTTGTGAAATGGTGTGTGACATATGCACGTGTGTGATGAGTATGTTACTGACATGTAAATTGAAGCAGTGTGCTATCTGTATGAAATGTGTATGAGCATGTGAGATGTGTGTATGAGATATGTGAGTATGTGAGGTGTGCTGTTTTTTTTTTTGCTTTTTGGGTCCCACCCGGCAATGCACAGGAGTTACTCCTGGTCCATGCACTCAGGACTGACTCCTGGCGCTGCTCGGGGGACCAGATGGGATGCTGGGAATCGAACCTCGGTCGGCTGCGTGCAAGGCAAACGCCCCACCCGCTGTGCTATTGCTCCAGCCCCGTGAGGCGTGTTTTTGAGCGTGTGAGGTGTGTGAACGTGAGATGTAAGTGCATACGTATGTATGTGCACTGCAATGTGTACGAGAGTGAGTGAGCATGTGAGGTGTGTGAGCCTATGAGATACGTGTGTGTGAGCGTGTGAGATGTGTTGGAGCAGAACATGTGGGATGTGTGAGGGAGGTAACGTATGAGAGAGATGTGAGCACATGAGACACGAGATGTATGAGCATGTGAAATGCGCACGTGAAATGTCTGTGTGAGTGTGTCAGATATGGGAGACGGATGTGTATGAGCGTGGGAGATGTGTGGGAGCATGTGAGATGCATGTGAGACTGTGTGCGCGTGAGATGCATGTGAAACCATGTGTGAGCATGTGAGATATGTGGGATTGTGTGAGATGCATGTGAGACTTCTGAGTGTATAAGAAATGCCTGTGATGAAAATAGACCATAGACCGAAAACGATCGCCACTCAAGGCCTCTTTCGCAAACCACAACACCCAAATGGAGAGAGAGAGCAAGCAAAAGGGAATGCCCTGCCACAGAGGAAGGGTGGGAAGGGGTGGATGGGGGGTGGGAGGGCTACTGGGACCCGAGGTGGTGGAGGATGGGCACTGGTGGAGGGATGGGTGCTCGATCATTGTGTAACTGAAACCCAAGCACAAGAACTTGTAAGTCTACAACTGTACCTCGTGGTGTTTCACTAATTTAAAAAAAAAAAGGAAAGAAATGCATGTGATCCTGAGTATGAGCTTGTGAGACATGTATGAGCGTGTGAGATGTTGTGAGATGTGTGGGAGTGTGTAAGGTGCACGCAAGACGTCAGGAGATGTGTGTGAGATTGTGTGAGATGTGTGTACGTGAACGTGTAAGATGTGGGACGTGTATGTGTGAGCGTGTGAGATGTCTGGGAGTATCTGAGATGCATGTGAGACGTGTGTATGAGTGTGTGAGATATGGGAGATTGTATGTGTGTGTGTGAGGTATCTGGGAGCGTGTGAGATTTGTGTGAGATGTGCGGGAGCATGTCACGTGCATTCGATACTGTGTTAGAGTGAGATGTGTGCACGAGTGTGTAAGACATGGGAAATGTGTGTGTTTGAGTTTGTGTGAGTATGGGAGCATGTGAGCTACATGTGAGATGCATGTGAGCGTTGAGACGTGTGAGTCTGAGATGTGTGTGAACGTGTGTGGGACGTGTTTGTGTGAGATGCTTGTGAGATGTGTGTGAGCAAGATATGGGAGATGTGTGTGTGTGAGAATGAGAGGTGTGCATGTGTGTGTGCATGAGAGACATCTGTGAGCATGTGAGACGTGTGTATGAATGTTTACGATGTGAGGCGGGGTGTGTGTGCATGAAGGAGCGCAGGCACGTGAGGTGTCGAGGCGCATGTGAGGTGTGTGCGAGACGCGTGTGTGAGCCTGTGAGGTGTCAGGGAGCGAGCGTGGGACGTGTGTGAGCCTGAGGGAGCATGCGAGGTGTGTGCGGAGTGTGATGAGCGTGTGGTGGCCCCCGCCCGGCACCGACCTGCTGGACGTCCTGCTGGAAGACGCACAGCTGCAGCCGCTGGTGGAGCCGGACCTTGCGGTGCTGCCAGATGTTCTCCAGCTGCCGCTGGTGGTGCAGCACCTCGTGGATGGCGTCGAGGACGTGGCGCACGGCCTTGGAGTAGTTGGCGGAGGCCGTGAGGGAGTCGGAGCTGCCGGGCGTGAGCGGCCGCTGCAGCTTGTCCAGGAGCGACTTCCCGTCCTGGCTCACCTGCCCGCAGAGAGACGCCGGGTCAGTGGGCAGGGCCAGTGCGGCTCGGAAGGGCGGGAGTGAGTCGGCTGACTTGCTGATCCAAGAAAACTTGTACTGACTGGGACCCTGTGGTCTCCAGTGCTGGTGCTGGTGGTTTCCCATGTTTGTGACTCGCCCCACAGCATCTCTGGGGACCCGCCTCCTTCCTGGGATCTCAGGCTGACCCCCTGGTGTGGCTCAGGTCTCCTGCTGGGGGGCTTCTGCTGCCAGTTCCCGTGTCCCCTCAGGCCGCCCCCCGTGAGGGAGCATCCCACACTGCCGGTTCCATCTGATTCACTCACGTCATCGCTCCAGTAAGAGAATAAAACCTTAAGTGGGTTCCCCTGCTGCACACGATCAGACGCTGCCAACGGTTCAGAGTCAAGTCACTGGGGGGGGGGGGGGGGGGGGGAGTGCCCCGGAGGCTACCCCTAATCAACAGCCAGCGTTCTCCTTCAGTAAAATGCAGATTAACTATCGCAGCTCTCCGCACAATTGCAGAATCTGGTTTTACTTTTTTTTTTAAGTTTCACGTAACAGTCACACCCCACTGTTTCGTTTTAAGGGGGAAAAAAAGGAGCCTGAAAATCTGTGAAGATTCTGCAGCGGCAGCGGCAGACAGAAAGGTGGAGAGAAACAGCAAGGAGCTGACCAGCTCTGTGCTCACACAGCCCCGCGCACGACAGCCAGGGTCAGGGGACCCGGCCCGAGGTCATGAGGTCATGAGGGCACAGCTGTTCGGTGGAGGAGGAAGTTCTGGAATCAGGAGCAACGGCGACTTCCTGTCTGCTGCTCGGGCAGGGTGGATGGTTCCCAGCCCAGGAGGCCCAGGTTGGAATCCAGCAGATGGGTGCTGTGGGACCTTTTCTTACTGGAGCCTCACAGGCAGGGCCCTGCTGTCACACAACGCGTAAGGAGCACAGAGGAAATCTCCTCGCGAGGCAAACATGTACCCAGCTCCTCGGCCTCAGGTCGCCGGGGGAAGCTAACCTGCTCAGGTCTTCCCAGGGCATGGGACAAGGAAGGCCTGGACAGCCTCCTGACTTTCCAGCCACACACACACACACACACACACACACACACACACACACAACTCACGTGCACATACACACATGAAAACTGTGCATGCATACAGGCACACACACCGCACACACACATGCACATCCGTGCACTCAGACTCACAGGCACACACATATGCACTCACCTCTGCGTAGGCCACGGTGATATGCTCGTAGATGCCCTGATGGTGGTGGATGGCGTCCTCCAGGTCCTGCAGCTCCGAGGGAAGGTCCACCTCGCCACAGGCCTTGCACCACGGGTCCACGTTGCTCATGTACTGCCGCACGAGAGGACGGGCGTCAAGGGCACGGTCCACAGAGCGGGGCGCGTGCACACGGGCATCTCTGTCCTGGCGGGCCCTCCACGGTGACTGCTCAGGGTGCGCCTCCAGGACCCAGGGACACACGGGGCATCCTGCTCTGCGCCGTGAGCTAGGCCGCGGCCAGGCCATCGTCATGGCCACTCTCACCTCCTCTCAGGCCCGTGGTGGGGCACCGCGCTGCAGGCCGCTTAGTGGTCATCAGTCCCCCTCCCCACCGCTGCCCACACCAGGATGGGGACAGAGCTGCCTGCGTGTGCCCACTTGGCATGGACGCCAGAAGAACAATTACCCATGGGTCTCTCCACAGCAGCCCCCAGGCCTTGGCGCAGCGCCCCCTTTCCTCGGAAGGCCCCGAGGCCCCCCGCCGGGCTGAGCTGGGCCAGGGCTGCACCTGTGGGGCCACCCAGGTACCCGCGGCATCCACGCCTGCCCTCGCAGCCGTCAGCCTGGGCAGACGCGGAGGCAGTGGGAGGTGCCCTCACCTCCAAATTCCAACCCAGATTTGGGAGTGAGTGTCAGATGACGACGAGCTGCCTGACCCTGAGTGCTGCTTCCAAACAGGAAGTGGCCTCTCATAAGGATGGGGGGGTGGGGGGCTGAGAAACGGGGCCAGGAGACGCAGGCCAGCCACACGGCAGTGCATCCCTGGGCCTCTGCGTGGGCCCACCGGCACCCCCAGAGAACAGGGACACCGGGCGCCTGGCTAGTGCGAGCAGGTGGCAGGCCAGGGCCCAGAGGACTCCCACAGGACAGTCACACCCCAGCACCATGGGGAACACTGACCAGCTGGGGGATAAGCCCAGCCTGGGTACGAGCCCGGCCTAGACACCCTCAGTGCAGGCAGCGGCATCCCAAGAGCACAGCAGACCTCGGAGTGAGGGGTGCCGAGCTGGGCGTCCCGGCAGGGTGCTGAGGGGCGAGTGAGGACGGGGTTCCGAGAACAGGAGGAAGAGGCGGCAAGAAAGACAGAGGAGAGCGTGGACAGCCACGGCTACCCCCAGTGCTCGCCGAGGATCAGGCTCCAGGCAGGCATCCAGGGGTGTGTGATGGGCAGCCCCGCACCCCCGGGAGCAGAGGGGAAGGGGGCCCCGGGCACTGACCTTCTCGGCCTTCTGGTGGAAAATGGATGACATGTCCAGCAGGGTGCTGCGCTCATCCAGGGCGGCAGCGAAGGCCTTCCACTCCTGCTCCAGCTGCCCGGCGATCTGCTTGATCTGCTGCGCGGCGTAGTGGCCCGACTCCACCAGCCGGCCGGCCACCGACATGATGCGGTTGATGTTCACGTACACGTTCTGCGGGGACCGGGGGGGGGGGGGGGCACAGGGCGAGGCCCAGTCAGGGGTGACTCCAGGAAAACACCCCATTGGTGGAAGGACAAAGAGCCTCCTGCGGTCACTGCCGACTCCAGCCCGCGGCGGCCAGGTGCTCTCTGCATCTGTGACTCCCCATGGGCCTCAGGGCCCAGAGGCTGCTGGCTCCGCCCGGGGAAGGCTTCCAGCCGGACGGGTGGGACACACAGCAGCGGGTGGCCCGGGCACACCCCTCTCGGCAGCTCACCCGGAAACGGCCCAGACCGAGCAAGCCCGGGCCTCTGTGGGCGACAGGCTTCCTTTTTCCCCACGCTTGGCCACCGCGTGTGGCCCAGAGAGAAGCCGCAGGAACTGGCGCAAGGACAGAACGATGCCGCGGTCACCGCGGGTGGCATCCAGCTGAGAAGCCTCTCTCCGGTGCCGCCCGCCTCCCTGTGCTCCGACCCCGCTGGTCCCCTCCAAGCGGCCCTTGCAGTCACAGCAACACCTGAGCTGTCCCCGGATTTGCCAGAGTGCCCAACAGGCCAAAAACCCACGCCACAGACAAGCCTCCTCCCGCTGACCACCGGTGGCCCATTCCTGGCTCTTCTCTCCCCGGGCTTCCCCCACGCATCCCCACCTCCACCTGAACCCCCATCCAGGGGCCCGGCGGGCACAGAGCCGGGTCTCTGAGTTCCAAACAGGCTCACAGGGCAGGCAGCAGGGAGGGCACTGGGCGGGGGCAGCTAGCTGGGCAGGGCCACCCCCAGATGGGCAACAGCTCTGATGCTCTGATGCCCAAAGTAACGCCTTCTCCTGAGTGTGCCCACAGGGGCGCCCCGGCAGAGGGCCAGCAGGCCCGAGGCCCGAAGCACCAGCTCTGGGCAGGGAAGAGTTTCCCTCCCCAGCTCTGGGCCGCTGACCTCAGCCCGTGGGTGGACAGAACCACCCCCACACTAGGCATGGGGCATGCACCCGGGACAGTCCCACCCCCCACCAGGACATGGGGCATCACCCAGCTGGACAGTGCCACCCCCACACCAGGACACAGGGCAGTGCCCCGCCCGACAGTGCTACCCCCACACTCTCGGCACTGCAGCCTCCAGCCAGTGGCAGTGCTGTGCCCGCCCTCAGAGGCCAGTGTCCCTCCAGCGTGTGCTCTTGAGCCCCTGGGATCTCCTGAGCCCCCCAGCCTGTGGCCCCAAACCAGAAAACGGTGACTTGGCAGCCCCCGGGTAGGCACCAAGTAAATGGCAGGCAGAGGCTGTGGACCCCCGGAGAGGTGAGAGGGAGCGCAGGGCCACTTGCGACAGTGCTCCCCGGAAAGGCATGGCCGGCTTCGCGCTGCAAACCTCCTTAGTGAGGGGGCTGGAGCGATATACAGCGGGGAGGGCATTTGCCTTGCACGCGGCCAACCCGGGTTCCATTCCCCGCATCCCATACGATGCCCCAATCACCGCCAGGAGTGACTCCTGAGTGCAGGGCCAGGAGTAACCTGTGCATCGCCGGGTATGACCCAAAAAAGAAAAAAAAAAACCTCCTTAGTGAAGCTACGGAAACAGAACGCAAACTGCAAACTACTCTCTGCAGGGGGAGGACCGGCAAGCAGGACCTGCGGCCAACCTGGGCTTGACCCCAGCACCACACGGGGTCTCTGGGACCCCGCAAGGAGTGATTCTGATTCCCGAGTGCAGGGCCAGGAACAAGGCCTGAGCACCACTGGGCACGGCTCCAAACAAACGAACACAGCAATCGTCCTACGCTGATTCTCTTTCCTTGAGAAGCACCAGGGGCTAAGAATATAAAGACAGTCTACAGAATGGGGAAAAAACAGTCACCCAATACCCATCCGATAAGGGGTTGATATCAAGGATCTACAAGGCACTGCTTGAACTCGGCAAGAAAAAAACATCCAATCCCAACAGAAAGTGGGGCAATGAAATGAACAGAAACTTTCTCAAAGAAGAAATCCAAATGGCCAAAGGGCACATGAGAAAATGCTCTACATCATTAATCATCAGGGAGATGCAGATCAAAGCAGCAATGAGATATCCTCTCACACCACAGAGACTGGCCCACATCCAAAAGAACAAAAGCAACCGGTGCTGGCGCGGATGTGGCGAGAAAGGGACCCTCCTTCACTGCTGGTGGGAATGCCGACTGGTTCAGCCCTTTTGGAAAACAGTATGGACGATTCTCAAAAAACTAGAAATCGAGCTCCTATTTGACCCAGCAATACCACTCCTGGGAATATACCCCAGAGAGGCAAAAAAATATAGTCGAAGTGACATCTGCGCCTGTTTGTTCATTACAGCACTGTTTACAATAGCCAGAATCTGGAAAAAACCCGAGTGCCCGAGAACAGATGACTGGTTAAAGAAACTTTGGTACATCTACACAATGGAGTACTATGCAGCTGTTAGAAAAGATAAGTCATGAAATCATCATGTAAATGAATCGACATGGAGAGTATCATGCCAAGCGAAATGAGTCAGAAGGAGAGGGAAAGACATAGAAGGACTGAGCTCATCTGTGAAATACAAAGAAACAGAATGGCAGGCTAACACCCAAGGACAGTTAGAGATCAGGACCAGGAGGTCTGCTCCATGGCTCGGAAAGCAGCCGCACATGCTGGGGTTTCGAAAAGGCAGCTCAGATGAAGAGGGGACGGCCAAGTAAAAGATGCCACTGGAGGGCCCGCTCGGGACGGGAGACGTGTGCTAAAAGTAGGCCACAGAGCGAGCGTGATGCCACGCAGCACCTGTATTGCAAGCCACAACACCCAAAAGGAGAGAGAGTGAAAGGGAATATAGGCCGGGGGTGGGGGAAGGGGGAGAGAAGGTGGGAGGGATACTGGGAGCAATGGTGGCACAGAATGGGCACCGGTGGAGGGATGAGTACTCGATCATTTTCTGACTGAAACGTAAGCACAAAAATTTGTAAGTCTGTAACTGTGCCGCATGATGATTCACTAAAAGAAAAAAAAAAAGCAGCAGCAGCAGCATCAGGAGCTAGAGAGACAGCTCCAGGCTGACCGCATGCTCCGCATGTAGGAGATTTCAGGTTCAGCCCCCAGCAACACGTGGTCCCCCTGAGCACAGAGCCAGGAGCACTCCCGAGCACGGCTGTGGCCTGAAAATCCCAAAAATAAAAATTGAAAAAAATAAAGTAAGGCTGGAGCGATAGCACAGCGGGGAGGGCGTTTGCCCACGCGGCCGACCCGAGTTCGAGTTCTTTGCCCCTCTCGGAGAGCCCGGCAAGCTACCGAGAGTATCTTGCCCGCACGGCAGAGCCTGGCCAGCTCCCCGTGACATATTCGATATGCCAGACACAGTAACATCAGAGTCTCCAATAGAGACGTTACTGGGCCCGCTCGAGCCAATCGACGATCAACGGGAGGACAGTGCTACAGTGCAGTGCTGAAGTTTTAAAAACAAAAAAGATGGGCTGGAAAGAGAAGACACCGACATGCTCGCCCTGCATGCTGCCAACCCCGGTTCTATCCCTCGTACCGCATATGGCTTTCTGGGCACTGCCCGAAGTGATCCCCGAGCAGAGCTGGGAGTAAGCTCTGAACACAACCAGGTGTGGGCCAGGACCCAAAGATCAAACAGCAAATAAAATCATAAAGAATAAAACATACGCATTAGCCGACTTTTGAGTCTTGCTCCAAAAGGATCCTGAGAAAGTTGGTAACTGTCACCCATGTGCTGTTGATCAACTGTCACGCGTGCAACACTGCTCCATGCTCTACACACGCAGAGCAAAGTCACATCGCCCTGTGGAAGGCGGCTATCACCCACTTTGCAGAACAGAGGCTGGCAAGGCATACCCCCGGGCATGTGGAAACCAGAGGCAAGAAGCAAAACCCCGGGACTGGAGTGATAGGACGGCAGGGAGGGCGTTTGCCTCATATGTGGCTGTCTCAGGTTCAAATCCCGGCATTCCATATGGTTCCCCGAGCACCGCCAGGAGTGATTCCTAAGCGCAGAGCCAGGTGTGACCCCTGAGCATTGCTGGGTGTGACCCAAAAAGAAAATAAAAAAAACCCAACACCCAGAAGTGAACGCCTTTACCCGCACAGCCTTGGTTCCTGCCATCCGTGCCAGCTTGGACCCTTCTCTCATTCAATCAATAAAGCTGGGAGAGGGGCAGGGAGGAGGGTCCCCTTCCATCCTGGGCTGTGGTTTAAATGGCTCTGGTTCTACTTGGCGGAGCGGACTAAGGTGTCTCCTGCTCCTGCTTAAGTTTCTGAATACTCTGAAAGTGGACAGGCGCTGTTAGGAAAAAAACCCGGGGCCCCTCCCCCGAAAGCTGACTCTTCACCCAAGTCTAGGGCACAGTTCCACGAGCTAAGACAGCAAGACTCGTACCTCAAACCCTAAAAAAAGGTACCAAATGCTTAAAAGAAAAAATAATCGAAAAATAGGGTCAGAGTGACAGCACAGCGGGTAGGGTGTTTGCCTTGCACACCGCTGACCTGGGTTCAATTCCCAGCATCCCACATGGTCCCCCAAAGCACCACCAGGAGTTCCTGAGTGTAGAGCCAGAAATAACCCCTGTGCATAGCTGGGCGTGACCCAAAAAGCAAAAGAAAAAGAGAACAGAAAAAGAAAAAGCGCAACAATGTTATTTGCTAAACTGGGGCTCAGAATAGAACTGACCAACGAACGCGGTGGCGTCTGTCTGCTGGACAGACGTGCAGAGCCTGTCTCCATGGACCTGACACGCGCTAGGAACAGAGCCAGCGGCCACTGTCCCGCGGAGCCCTGGGTTGTATGTGGCAAGTGCCACTCTGCCCCCGCAAAACCGTCGCGAGCAGGCCCAGCTCTCCAGCCAGCCGAGAGGCAGCGCTGAGTTGCTCTGCAGACCCCGCCGGCTGTGCTCATCTGCAGGACAAGGACGGCACCAGAGACGCCCAGAAGCTGCCAGGTTCTAAGGCCCTACCTCCCCTTCCGGAGCACTGTGGGAGGGCAAAGCCAGGAGCTGGCCAGGGAACAGCCACGGCTGAGTCACAGGTTCAAACCTCGCTAGCTCACACGCCCGCATACTTGCCATGGAAGCCCTCCCGACCCCACACACGTGCCCCAGCCCTTGCCCACTTCTGGTCGTGCGCGCCTCACCATGCAGTTCATGGCGAAGTGATTGTGTTGAGTCTGGAGGTCCATGGCGTGGGGGTGGCTGGTCCCGATCTCTGTGTAGCTGTTCAGAAACAGGCCCTTGTTGTGCGTGATCCAGTCGAACATCTGCCAGGAGGAGAGACACTCGGGGGTGAGACTGGGAAGAGGCACGACCGAGAGACACGGGCCGGGCCCGGGGAAGCCCCCGAGAACATCTGGCCTGTTCCTCCGACAGGGGGTCCCCACACTTACTCTGCCTACCACCCCCTCCACAGAAAAAGAAAATCACTCAGCCTTCCCTCTCCCCAGAGCAGCAGAAAGGGGGACCTGGGGGCTGGCAGGTATGGAAGACGCCTCACGGGGCCCCCCCACAGCTGGGTCAGGCCACTGGCCCAGGCCGGCTACGGTGCACATGTCTTCGAGACATCCTCTAGGACAGCCACCACGGCCACCTGCTGACCCTGCACAGACTGTGAACAAGAGTGGGAAGGGAGGAGGGGCTGGTACTCCCCTTCCGGCTTGGCCCGTGACGAGGGCCACGGGAATCCCCCTGAAGGTGCCAGAATCATAGCTGGACACTGGCCTGTGTTCTCAGGAGGACGTGACCAACCGGGCACCACTGAACCTGTGGGCCCGGCAGATGTGTCAGACGCCTGAGGACGGCGCGGTCAGCTGTTGCCGTCAGAAAGGTGCAATCAGACACACAACGTCTGAAGCGCTGGTATTACTCTTTTAAAACGTTCTCCTGACTAGTCGATGCTTGGAAACTACCACAAGGCTGTGGAGGATGGAGGGTAGTTGAGAGCGAGGAGGGGCTGTTTTGACAATACTAGTTGGAAACGGTCACTCTGGACAAGAGGTGAGTGTTGAAAGTAGGTGAAAGAATGTATGCGATGACCTCTCAGCAAGCGCACTGTAAACCGTAATGCCGAAAGTATGAGAAAGAGAGAGAGGAGAGAGAGGAGAGGAGGAGAGATGGAAGAGAGAGAAGAGAGGAGAGGAAAAGGGGGGGGAGAGAGAGAGGGGCTGGCCTGCCATAGAGGCAGGCAGGGCTGAGGGGTGATTTCGGAAGGGTGGGAGGAAGCTGGGGACACCGGCGCCGGGGGTTACGCTGGTGGAGGGCTGGGTGCTGGAACACTGCATGACTGAAACCCACCATGAACAGCACCAGAATGCTCTCTCTCACGGAGATTCGATTTAAAAAAACAAACCAACCAAAAGACCAAGGTTCAAATCCAAAGTATACTTTCTCCATTTCTGCCGACACCTTTACCAGCTTTCTAAAACAGACAGATACACAACGCATGGGTGTCTAGGCTCCAGGGAAGCGATAGACGAGACGTTCTCCTACCCCCGAAACCAACCCGCGGCGCACACTGAGCGAGCGGCCCCACTGCGGCGGCCTCTCTGGGGCACCGTTCCGCACGCGCAGACGCACGCGGGGAAAGCCGGGTCCCAGCCCAGTCGAGGCCGGGCAGCGACCGGCCCCTCCCCCGCGGCCCCCTCACCTTCTCGGCGTCCTGCTCGAAGAGCCGCAGCTGGAAGCACTGGTCCAGCTTGAGCTTGCGCAGGTGCCACATCTGGTGCAGGTGCTGGCGCGTGGAGTGCAGCCGGTCCAGCATGGCGGACACGCGGGGCAGCAGGCTCTGCAGGTCGGCGTTGCCCGAGCCCGAGCTCTTCTTGGGGAAGCTGTCGCTGCTCTGGATGCGCTGCAGCAGCTTCTGGCCCTCCAGGTCCAGGTCCTCGATGGGCGCCTTGATGACCTTCTTCTTGAGCTGCGCGTGCTCCTCGATCATGCCCCGCGCCCCGTCCAGGTCGGGCGGCAGCTCCTTCTTGGCCAGCAGCTCCTGCAGCTCCTCCAGCCGCGACAGCATGTGCGCCGCGTTGCTCACGTAGTCCTCAAAGGCCACGCGGATCTCGATCCACTCCTCGTGGTTGTACTCCAGGCAGCCGTCGAACTCGGGCGTCAGCTGCGACGGGTCCACCACCTTGGTCAGGCCCTCCAGGGAGACCATGTTCGTCTTCGGGGGGGGGGGGGGGGCGACAAAGGAGATTGGCATGAGAAGACGGACCAGGGGCGGGATCCCGGCCCCAGCCAGCGCCACGCGTCACGGACCTGAGAACCCCGTGTACTTCCAGGAGCTACAGCACGCCGAGTGCCCGCCTAGCAAGGGAAGCAAGGATGAGGTTTCTGGGGGCTTCGGCCCAATCGAGCTCACGCACTTGTCGGGCTGAGTGACTAGAGATCGTCTCGGCTGGTCTGCTGGGCAGGCTGACTGACTACCATGCTTGTCTCGGGGCTGGACTGTCAGGCTGACTGACAACGACTGCTTCAAGATTGATCTGTCGGGTGGACAATGACAGTCTCGGGTTGGTCTGTCCAGGGGACTGACTACAACGCTCATCTCAGGGTTGGTCTGCTGGGTTGACAACGCTTGTCTCGGGGTTGTTCTGTCAGGCTGACTGACAACGATCATCTCAGGGGAGGTCTGTCAGGCTAACTAACAATGAACGTCTCTGTGTTGGTCTGTCGGGCTAACAATGATCATCTCTGGGTATGTCTGTCGGACTGGCTGACAATGACTGACCTTGGGTTGGTCTGCTGGGCTGACTGACAATGATAGTCTTGGGTTGGTCTGTCGGGCTAAATGACTACAAAAATCATCTCAGGGTTTGTCTTTTGTTTTGAGGGGCCATACCTGGCAATACTCAGGGGTTACTCCTAGCTTTGCAGTCAGGAATCACTCCTGGCGGTGCTTCAACGACCATATGGGTTGTTGGGGATGGAACCCAGGTCAGCCACGTGCAAGGCCAGCGCCCTACCAGCCCCACCTCAGGTATTTCATGAATGGTAAAGGAGCTAAGATTCCTCACAGCGGGTGGGAATTAACCCACGGCCTTGGGCACATTAAGTGGGACATGTTTCCCCTGCAAGCACAGAGCAGATGTTTCTGGAATCTGGCCCATCCAGGCACCCTCCCTCCCTCGCGCTACCAGCCAGCCCGGTCCCACCAGGGCCCCCTGCTGAGGGTCCAGTCTCTGCAGTCAAGTGCATGTCCTGACTTGAGTTTCCCACCAGCAGGAAGACGTGCTTCCATGAGCAGCTCATTAATTCATGGTGCGGGGACCCGAGACTCAGGAGGTGGGTGCCGGCGCTAGGGAGTGAGGCCAGGGGTCTGGTCTGTTCCATGAACTGAGTGGAACACCCTGGCGCACAGAATCCACCCCTCCTGCTTGGGGATGGGCTAGGGTGGGGAGCCCCGATCACCCCGCTTTCTCCCTGACTGCTGGCCACGCCCTCAGTGAGGCAGCAGGGAAACGGTCCCATAGGGTGCCTGGCCCTCGCCTCTGCAGCCTGCCCCCCCCACTAAGAGCCACGAGACCTAAACAGACCCCGCGGGGCGGACGCGGTCAGCCACGCGGCTCCCTGTGATGGGGCCGCTCTCGAAGGCCGCGCGCGCTGAAAGCGATCTGCCCTGTAAACCGCGGCTGCCGGCAGAGAGCGTCACCTCGAACTCAAACTTGGAGCTGCCGAAGTTGGTCCTCTGCTTCTGCCAGAAGTTGTCGGGCTTGATGATGAGCGCCACGTGGATGCAGCAGGGGAAGGACTCCTGCAGGATCTTCAGCAGGGGCTTGATGGAGTCCCACTTGGAGCCGCGCATGTCCACGATGACCGTGAATCCACGCTTGCACACTTCTTCACTGGGGGAACAGGAAGCCGGGTTAAGGTGGCCGAGGGGACTCCGCTCCCGAGTGCGGAGGAGGCCGGGGTCCCACGGGGAGGACAGCGAGCGTAGTCTGAGCCACTGGACACCCCCCGCCCCACCCTGTGTCCTGCTTCCTGGCCCGCATGGGCACCAGGAACACGGACGCGCTGGGACGAGCATCCCCCACCCCAAACGCCAGAAACCTCAGGAACGCTCGCTGTGCATCTGAGGCTTTGTGTGAACTGCGGGCACGCAGGAGAGGGGGCAAGCGGGAAGTGAGGGACAGACGCTCCAGGGGAGACGCGCAGAGCCCCCTAAACATGTCCCCCCAAACCCCAGCTGCCTCACAGTTCCCCGAGTGTAGTCCTGGGGGTCCCTGCCACTTGCCTGGGGTGGGGGGGTTTCCACAGGGAGATAATACTGTCAGCGTGATACTAAGGCACGTCTGCCGCTTCCATGCACTTGCATGTGTGCGCGCGCGCCTGTGTGTGTGTTTGAGTGTGTGGAGTGCATGTGTCTGTGTGTGAATGAGTGTGAGTGAATATGCGTGAGTGTGTGAGAAGGGTTTGAATGCGTGTATGTGTGGCTGCAAGAGTGTGGAGAGTATGTGTGTGTCGACGTGTGAGTGTTGAGTATGTAATGTGTGTCACCGTGTGAGTGTGTATCAATGTGTTAAGTGTGTGAGTGTCTGAATGTTGAGTGTGGAAGTGTGTATGTGTGTGTCAGAGTGTGTCTGAGAGTGAGTTATGAGTGTGTGAGTGTGTGTGAAGTCTGGGCAGGCGCATACGCATGGAGGACCCAGCCTCGCCCTGCCGGCACCTATGAACACAGAGAAGCTTCCCTCAGCCACGTCGGTGCTGGGGCCGGGGGGCTCGCTCGTTCTCTGCAACCCCAGCCGAGGGCACCTTGAAACACTTAGGACTGCAGCAGGGAGAAACCCAGAGGTCCGGGCAGGGCCGGAGTTGGGGTGCTGAGGCCCTGGTTCCAGCACGGCGTGGCTCCCTGGGCACAGGGGACGGGGCTTTCCCGCCCCAAACGCCCTGGGCCACGGCAGTCCTGCGAAGTGGGCCGCCTCCCCCAGAAACGCATCTGAATGAAGAGCCCAGGAACGAACTGCCCTCACCAGCGGATGGTGACAAGCCACACGCACACCGGGAGGGGAAAAGTTTTTAACAATCTCTTGCTCTCTCTTGTCTAACGCAGCCTAGAAGACCCTCCTCTCCGTCTCTCCCCGCACCCATCCCGGGCACGTGGAATTATGGCGCCAGGACTGCTAACACTCCCAGTCAGTGAAGTGAGTGCCTGAAGGGCACCAGAAGAGTGACACGTCACAGAAATATTTCCCAGTGTCTGTTGTCAAGGCTGAGTGGATGGTCGGCGGGGATAAGCCGAGAGGACAGTCTGTGAACAAGAGCTGAGCGAACGGTCTGTGAAGACAGAAGCTGAGTGGGACGGTCTGTGGGGACAGAGCTGAGTAAGTGGACGGTCTGTGAGGACAGGAGCTATCCTGGGGCAGGTCAGCGAACACTCTAGGGGCAAGTGCCACAAATCGCGAGTGTGAGGCCTTGGCTGCTCTCTGCGGCCGAGTGGTGACTTGGGGGGAGGGGGGCGTCCATCCCTCCAGTTTCTCATGTGATGCCTCCTGCACCCCGCCGTGGGCATGCTGTGTTTTAAACTGGGTCATCCAGATGATCTTGAATACACCTGATTGAATTCCGCCTATCCCAGGCATGAAACGAAAAGTTCTATATTTATGTTTACAATCAACTCAGATTTATAACGCAGAAACCGAGGTGCAGGTGCGAGTTTTCCTCCCTCCCTCCCTCCCAGGCTTTGGAGCCCACGCACTGCTGGGAATCGAACTCAGGGTCTCGGCCTGGGCTAAGCTGTGCAGCCAATTCTACACTCGGAGAGTGTAGAAGGGACCACGATGCGGGCCAGAATGTCCCTCAGGAGGGCTCGGGCCTGGCCTTGCTGCCCACCGCGTCTGCATATCCCAAGCCTCAAGGTGGCCCTCAGGACCCACCCTGACCCCCCTGCCACCTGCTCACCACCCCCAGCATCCCCCCACTCAGAACCCAGACCCCTCGCCCCCAATGGGCAGGACTCACCTGGGGATGCAAGCCAGGTAGGAGATGAGCCTCCTGAGATCCTCCTGCCGTATTCTGTCGTGGTTGCTGCGAGCCGGGAAGGTGAGGATGGGGCCACCGCGCTTGTCTCTGCCACCTGGAAGACAGTGGCCACACCTGAGCTGGGGCGCGGCTCGGGGGACCTTCCCACCTGCTTCTGCCGAACCTCTCCTGGGTCACGTCCCCCCACCCACCCCACCCCCGGAGAGGAGAAAGGCGTGCTTTCAGCGTGCTCTCGGCCTGGGTAACACCAGGGAGTGGATGATGTTCCCAGGCGAGGAGGATGGAGAAGGGCTGCACTCAATCTCAGAGCAACGTGGAATGAGAGTTGGCCTCCATGCCAGGACAGCCCCCAGCTCGCCCACCCGCCGATCCCGCCTGCTGGAGTGGGGGTGCTGGACAGCCCATGGCCACCAGTGGGGCTTCCTGCGCCAGCGCAGAGAGGTCAGTGGGCCCCCTGCACGGGTACCACCTGGCCCCGAGGTCTCCATGCTCAGGGCTCTGGGGGACCTTTCTCCCCTCCTCGATGCTGACCCAGACTGGAGAGCGGCCCACGGGGAAGGCGGCCTGGGCCCCCTCCTCCCAGAAAGGGCTGCACACGTGACAACGAAGCCACACTATGCCCAGAACCCCCTTGGCCTTGTCCACTCCAAGCAGGGGCAGACTCGGTGGCCGCACAGGCTTGGGGGGGCGGGGGTGTAAAGCGACCAGCAAAGTCGGTGGCTGGTGGGTCCCGCCTGCCCCATCACTCCAGCTGTCACCAAAGAAACCGAGACGCCCAGGGCTCAACGGAGGCAGGTCCACGGCCCCCGGCCACGGCAGCCCTCGAGCCCGTCACCGCCTTGGAGGGTTTTCCCGACTCAGAGGCGCCGTTCCCGGCAAAGGCGTGAGACCGCAAGCGCAGGATGACGCGGGGATCCCAGCGGGCTGTGCCACCCAGACGCCGCCAGGAGCTGACAACGGGCCACTATCACCCGGGAGGCCTCTGGAGCACCTGCAGCTCCGAGTGCCTTCAGGGCTCCGGTCTGTGGGGACCCCACCTTGCACCCTGCACCTCCTACTCCGTGACCCGCCGTGACTTCAGTCATTGACTTCCGCAGCATCCGCTCTATCCGCTCTGCTCCGAGTCAATCTCCCCGCTCAAATATGCCCGGCAGCACGCACTGCACACAGACGGGGGGGGTGCACACAAGCATCTGTGTGAAAGCGTCTCAGGCAGCACCGGACCCTCTGGGCTGCCCGTCACGGACTCCTCTGCTGGGCTCTCTGCTGCCAAGGCCACTGCAGGGATGGGGAAACTTTAAGTGGTCCCTGTACACCTTGCAGGGAATGACATTAAGCGGCCCTGTCCCCTTGCAGGGAATGACGTTAAGTGGCCCCGTCCACCATCCCGGGAGCCATGTTAAGTGCCACTGGAGGCTGGAGTACGCATGAGTGAGGTGTGTGCACTGCACTCCCTTGGGCCCCATCACTCTGAACTCTGGAGCCGGGGGCCCTGACCTCTGGGGCGCGGGGCCACCAGGCCAGCCAGCTCAGGACGAAGAGACCGTCAGAGCCCCCACCCTGGGCAGCTCTAGAGCTGTCTCCTCTGCGGGAGGCTCTGGCTCCGCCCCCGGCACCAAAACGCAGGGCTGGAGAGAGAGTTGGGGGAAGGAGGTGCTGGGGAGTGCGGTGGGCAGGTACTGGTTCTCGGGCCACCCTCAGTCTGATCCCCGGAACTGCCGGGAGTGACCCCTCAGCCCAGACTCCGTCAGACCTGAGCACAGCTGGCACTGACTGGTCCTGTCCACCTTCCAGAAAAAAGCATTAAGTGGCCCTGCCCAATTTCCAGGAAATAGCATTAAATAGCCCTGTCCACTTTTCGGAAAAAGGCATTAAATGGCCCTGCCCCCTTCCAGGAAAAAGCACTCAGTGGCCCTGTCCACCTTCCAGGAAAGGTATTCAGTGGCCCTGTCTATCTTCCAGGAAAGGCATTCAGTGGTCCTGTCCACCTTCCATGGAAAGGCAATAAGAGGCCCTGTCCACCTTCCAGGAAAAGCATTAAACAGCCCTGTCCACCTTCCAGGAAAGGCATTAAACGGACCTGTTCACCTTCCAGGAAAGGCATTCAGTGGCCCTGTCCACCTTCCAGGAAACACATTCAGTGGTCCTGTCTACCTTCCATGGAAAGGCAGTAAGAGGCCCTGTCCAGCTTCCAGGAAAAGGCATTAAGTGGCCCTGCCCAACTTCCAGGAAATAGCATTAAATAGCCCTGTTCACTTTTCAGAAAAAGGCATTAAATGGCCCTGCCCACCTTCCAGGAAAAAGCACTCAGTGGTCCTGTCCACCTTCCATGGAAAGGCAATAAGAGGCCCTGTCCACCCTCCAGGAAAGGCATTCAGTGGCCCTGTGACCCTCCAGGGACCACTGAGCAGCACACCCCCTTCCCCTGTCCCATGGAACAAAGGCTCTCTGCAGGCCGGCCTCCTAGGCTCGTGGGAGACGGGCACATACCAGACCCCCAGACAGGGGCCTGACTCCCCACCAAGCACGGTGGAAACACCTCCAGGCAGAGTTAGGCCTGGACGGGCCTGTGGAACCCCCCTGCTCAGAAACACAGTCAGGCTGTGTTAAACGGCCCTGTCCACCTTCCAGGAAAGGCATTCAGCGGTCCTGTACACCTTCCATGGAAAGGCAGTAAGTGGCCCTGTCCAAAGGCTGGAGGGGGCTGGAGGGGGCCGGAGAGACAGGACAGCGGGGAGGTGCTTGTCTTGCCTGTGGCTGATCTGGGTTTGATCCCCAGCATCACATACGGTCCCCCGAGTGCCACCAGTAGTTCCTGAGCACAGAGCCAGGAGAAAGCCCTGAGCATCGCCGGGTGTGGCCCCCAAACCAAAAAAAAAATAAATTAAAAAAATTAAAAACTCACAATGTGAAAAAAAGAACCACACACAGTCCAGGTGGCGAGTGAGGGGGGCTTTAGGGCAGAGAGGTGGGAGGGGTCCCAACAGCAGCCGCTCGAATTCTAGGGTCCGCTCGGCCGCGCTCGCTCCACGCAGGCCTATTCTGATGCCGTCACGTTTCCACAAGCAACTGTGCTTCACGGTTCAGAGCGGCCTCCACTGCGCATGGCAGGAACCTGGCGGGGAGGGCTGGCTGACCAAGACTGACCCAGGGAGCACGGCAGCGAGCTGATCCGCTCTCGCTAAGGGACACCTGGGCCTGCTCCCGACAGTGCACCCCGCATCTGCACGCACACACCCACGACAGGCCTCGGACCCAGGCCAGCTGCTCAGGTCTGGGGACTTGGCGCACCCACGCCACCAGGTGGAGGGGAGGCACGACTCTGTGAGCAATGGGCCTGGGGCAGGTGCAGACCCCCAGGATGGGAGCCCCGCGCCAGCAGCACCCCCCCCCCCACATTTGCAAGGAGGGTGCTCGCCTGATCCCCACAAATGCTGCCTGAGAAGGAAGCTCCGGGGCCTGACAATGAATGGCGGCTGCACACTCAGCGCAACAAGGAATCCGCACGGGACGGAGACGCCACAGACGCTGCTGCAAAGGCAGGGCACTGTGTGTCTGACGGACACGGGACTGTCTGTGTGTGTGATGGGACACGGGACTGTCTGTGTGTCTGACGGACATGGAGCCGTCTGTGTGTGTGATGGGACACGTGTGTCTTATTTCTCTGTGGGACTCTGTGGGACACGTGTGTCTTATTTCGTCTGTGTGTCTTATTTCTCTGGGTTTGGACAGGACGGCGCACAGCTAGGTACTCCATCACTGAGCCTTGCGCATAACTTATCTGGTACATTGTTCTGAGTTTTTGACAAGGGACAAAGCACACATTTCCCTCAATAGTGAAGATGAGTGGATGGTTGTGTCCTTGGAGCACGTGAAGACCCTGGGTGCGGGAGAGTATATGGAGACAAGGGGACCGGGCGGGAGAGTGGATGGGGACAAGGTACCTGAGTGCGGGCTGGTGAGATCCCAGTCCTGCCCGGCACAACGCAGGACACAGAGATCTTGTGTCCTAGGTCACAAGACACGAGATCTAAGCACCAGCAGGCTCCTAACTGCCTCTGGCAACCAGTCGAGGGAGCCCCGCCTGCTCTCCAACCTGACCCGAGCGAAGGAGAACTCCCCTCCCCAGGAAAGAGGCCCCATTTCATCTATTTATTTATTTGGGGGTTTGGGGATGGCGGGGGGGGGGGGGGGAGGATGCCCGGCAGTGCTCAGGGCTTACTCCTGGCTCTGTACTCAGGGATCCATCCTGGTGGTGCTCGGGGACCATCTAGGGTGCCGGGGATTTTAGTTCTTAGCTAAGAGTGCCATCGAGCAAGCGGGCTGGGATCGGGCTCAGTGGAAGCGGGCGCAGCCTGCCATGTGCGAGGGTTTGGGTTCAGTCCCCAACGGTTGTGTGTGTGTGTTATGTGTTTGTCTGTGTTGTGATTATTTAGTGTGCGCGCAGGACACACACACACACACACTAAATAATCAATGAATTCTGCAATAGCACTAGCGGCCAATAAAGTGCACGTGGAAATAAACAGCCACTGTAACCTGCTGCTGGTCGAGCTGTTCCAGGCGCGGCTCTGACGAGGAAAGTGGAATGAAGAGGTGTGGGGGGCAGGGGGCACACGGGGGCGAGTCTGCTCACCACGGGGAGGTGGACCAGGACAGGGAGAGGCCGAGAAGCCCCCCCTCTTCATAAGTAGGAGTCCTCTTCTGACACAAGCTGTTAAGCTCTCCTGAAGACTCTCAAGATCAGAGTTCACGGAGCTGGCCTGTCCCTGCCGGGCGGTTTCCCAGCAAGAGTCCAGGAGGGGCTGCTGTGGCTCTGGAGCGAGCCCGGACCTTCGAGGGGCGTCCGGCACCTCTCACTCTCCCACCACCCGTGTCTCTCCAGGAGTTTCCCCCCTTCCTGCTAAGCTTCCAGAGAACTAGAGCAGCTTCAGCCATGTCCTCGGACGGCTGGACGGTGGGCAGGAGACCCCACTGGGCGTGAAGGTAAGATCAGCCAAATGCCGGGGGGCGGCAACCTGCACACAGGAACGGAGCACATGGGAGGGGGGCGAGTGGAGTTCCTGAGGAGATACCCCCCGGCGTCCCGTGCTTGAGCGAGACATTGGAAGGGAGGCACATCGGGAGGCCTGTGAGGGGCACCTAGCGGCCACCACGGAAAATGCCCACACACCCTTGGAGGGCCACCAGCCCTCGGCTTGCAGGGGGAGCCCGGACAGCGGCCCGAGTAAACGCCGGGGCCCAGGCCATGCACGCAGGTTCCATGCGGGTGTGACCCTGGGCCTCGGGCAGCCCAGGAGCCCCAGCACCGCAGGGCCTCTGGACATTCTGGCCAAGCACCCCCAGAAGACCACCGGCATCCCGCAAACAGAAAGACTAAGACAGGACAGCACAGAAGCAGCAGCCCGCAGCCGACCCCCTCTGCAGATGGGGGAGAGGTGTCCCGCGGGAGCCCGGTCACGGCCAGGATGGGAGGACTCAGCGGCCGACCCTCGCAGGCTCTCAGCAGCCACGCGGAGGGTTCCAGAACTCCAGGAGTGGAGTCCACAGAGCCAGCGGGGACTCAGGCCCATGCACCTGGACCAGCCCCACAATCCCAACACTGCCGGGATGGAGCTTGGCAGACACGCCCAAGAGCTGACCGTGTGTCCAGACACCAGGGCTGGCTCCAGATCGGGCCCGGCAGCTGGATGGGACTCTGGGGGCACCTTCCCCGATATGCTGTGAGTGTGTCTCTTGGACTCATACATATGCATAAACACACACATACACCCTGCTGGGTGTGTCTACACAGACGTACACACCCCGGAGAGCACGGGTACACAGTCACACACACAGAGACACAGACACACATACACACACCCTCTTTCCAGGTGAGTCTGTTTCTCTACACACACACACACACACACACACACGCACACCCATACCCACACCTTCCGCCCAGGTGAGTCTGTGTCTCAAGCCCCCCCCCACACACACAGACACAGACACACACACACACACACACTGCCCAGGTGAGTCTGTCTCTCTCTCTCTCTCTCTCTCTCACACACACACACACACACACACACTCTGCCCAGGTGAGTCTCTCTCTCTCTCTCTCTCTCTCTCTCTCTCTCTCTCTCTCTCTCTCTCTCTCTCACACACACACACACACACACACACACACTCTGCCCAGGTGAGTCTGTGTCTAGTCTCTCTCACATGCAAGCACACACATGTGAGCCCGTGTTCCCTGACTTGCACAGGCAGCCAGTCACACGGGGTGGGCAGAACCGTAAGCAGACGCCAAAGCTCAACTTTACCTGAAAGGTAAGCGACCTTCTCTTTCAAAATTGGCAAAACGTCCATCGCTTTCATTTCATCGTTTTTCCGAAACCCTGGAATGCAAGGGGGGAGAACAGGTCAGTGGGTGACAGTCGACTTCGGGGCCGCCCACACGACGCCCCACGCCTGGCGGCGGGTTCGGCTCTGCGCCCCTGGCCACTGCTGGCCCGACCCTGCGCACAGACTCAGGTGCGCAGAGGCCCTGCGCTGACCGCGCAGGTGGACACCAGACACCGGGAACAGAAGCCGGCTGGGAAAGCTGCAGGAAAGACGGAGGGACAGAGGACAGCGGCGCCTGCAGGGGGCGCCCCGAGCCTCCTCTTGGCGGCAGGCGGCAGGTTAAAAATAACCAGGGCAGCAGCGCAAGGAGTATAAATAGCGGGGCGGCAGCTCCTTGGCCTGGCTCTGTCCCGGCAAGCTTTCTGGGTCATGAACCCTGAGGAATGTCACCGGCTAAAGTGGCGGATGGCCGGGATGGCCGGCAAGGCTCTCTCTCCGGCCCCAACCCCCCGCCCCGCACCTCGCAGGGCGACTGGGAGCACATGACAAGCAACTTGGGCCCAGCCGAGCCCCCCCGCCCCCCCCCCAGCTCCTGAGCCCCAGCTCTCCCTCGTCCACAAGGCAGCTCTGCACAGCACCACACGCCCCCCACCCCACCCCCCCAGCTCCTCTAGGAAGCCGCCAGCCAGCCAGAGGTCTCAGGCACGAACCGCGGGCGGGTCAGCAGGACGCCAGCAAGCGGGACGGCCTCTAGGAAAACACTCCTGGCCAGGGCCCCTTCCCGGCGGCCTCTCGGTACTGAAATCGCATCCAAATGGGTCACTCGGTCAGATCGGCTGATGGACATAGGAAGGTGCGAAGGCGCATGGACATGCCCCGCCGGGGTCCCAGGGCGTGGCTGCAGGTGAGTCCCTGAAACCACTCTCCAGGCAGGGTGATCCGGGGTATGGGGACAGGCACTGGGGCAGGAGGCGGGATGCAGCGGGCACCCCTCAAGGGGACAGGAGCCCCGGTCCCGAGCGTGAAGGCGCCTCTGGCCCGCCTCACATGGCCCAGGCGAGCTGGAAGCTCTCGCTGAACGTTTGTGTCGCTGGCCAGCCAGAGGCGGGCAGCGTCGCGGGCAGGAGGCTCTGTCAGGAGCCTGTGCTGGCGCCAAGGCCTGGGCAAGGTGCAGTTTGATTTTTAATTTTTTTTTAAGCGAACCTCTGCTGTCCAAAGAACACACACAAACACCTCCAGGACTGTTTGCTGAGTCTCAGCTGTCGGCTTCCTGGCTACTGGCCCAAGGCCTGGCCTGGGGCCTGCAGCAAGCGCCGGCTGGCAGGACCGTCCTGGGGCCCGGGACGCTTGGGGGCGCTGCTGAGCCATTTGAGGGTGGGATCCGAACCCACGCCCCAAGTCCGTCCTGACCACACTGACAGCCAGGCCCGTGGAGCAGTGGCTGGCCAAGCCCCTGAATCAGGGACGCAGCTGGGCCAGCCACTCACCTGGCCGCACCCTGCATCCAGCCTGAGCTTTCCCAGACCACGAGGAGACAACACCGTAGCCACAGAAGCCACCGGACCGGGGGTCGGAAAGCGGGTCCTTCTCCCCAGGGCCTGCCACCATTCCCTCGCCCCTCCCCGCCCCCAAGACCGGAAGACAGCAGAATCCGGCACAAGCGCCCCTGTGGCCCCGCAGCACGCCACCCCAATCTGAGCGCAAGACCTCACATCTCAGGGCCAGCATCACGGTCTCAGGGCTTGAGGCCGTTCCTGCCAGCGCCAGGGGCCCGGGCACGCACGACAGAAGCCGGCAGCCTGCAGTCCAGCCCGCGCCCGGTGTCTACCCCCTATTCCTCTCCTGCATGAAGTGGTGCCTTCCCAGAGAGCAACACACGCGACTGACTCACTACCACTGGAGGTGGGGAGATGCCACTGTGTGACCGATGCGCGTGTTTGATGACCCCAGGACTCACTGGCTGTGCCCTCTCTGTACCCGTGAGTCACGCTACATACGCATACATCAACTCCCAGTGGTGCTCAGGGCCGACTCCTGCCTCTGCACTCAGGGATCACTCCTGGTGGGGCTCGGGGGACCCTATCGGGTGTCGGGGATTGAGCCCGGGCTGGTCGCATGCCAGGCAAACACCATCCCCGCTGTACGATGGTTCCGGCCGTAAATTCTCAATCTTCTTACCGTGGTATTTCTATGGGGTACATGGGAAAAGGGACATTAGTGTTTGTTTGTTTGTTTTTTGAGGGCTATTAGTTTTGTTAAGATCACCCTCGAGAGCTTTCAGACACATGGCAGTGCTCAGGGTGGCTCCTGGCTCTGATGGCAGGAATTATCCCAGGCTGGCTCAGTGGGCCACATGACCTGTCCAGGATTGACCCAGGGCTGGCTGCCTGCAAGGAAAGCCACCCTACGTGCTGTCCTATCCTTCCAGCCCAACACACACACACACACACACACACACACACACACACACACCTTTTTAAAAGGAGAAACCTAAAACCAACTCCAGAAAGTGAGTTTGTGGCAATAATATGTTTGGTCTGGCTTCAGCTTTAGGGAGGAAGAGGGAAGTGTGGGACTGTGTGAAGCTAGATTAAGGGGGGAGGAGAGGGAGGGAGGGAGGGAGGGGGAGAGAGAGAGAGAGAGAGAGAGAGAGAGCGAGCGAGCACCATAGAGGCAGGCTGCGGGACAGTGATGGAAGGGCACCTGGGGACACTGGTGCTGGTGGAGGGACAGGTGTTGGAACACGACGTATGACTGAAACCCAATCATGAACAGCGTTGTAAGGGTCTGCGTCTGCCTCACGGCGATTCAATAATAGAATCTTTTTTTTAAAAAAAAATTATATCAGGGACTGGAGCAACAACAGCACAGCGGGTAGGGCGCTTGCCTTGCAAGCGGCCGACCCAGGTTCGATTCCCAGCATCCCACACGGTCTCCTGAGCACTGCCAGGGGTAATTTCTGAGTGCATGAGCCAGGAGTAAACCCTGTGCATCGCCAGGTACGACCCCCAAAAAAGCAAAACTAAAAACTTTTATCAGAAAAAAAAATAATAACCTCACACAAATTCCAACGAAAAGCATCAAGAATTCAGACCAAGAATTCAGCCCTGAAAGGCGCTAAGACCCTGCGAGCAGGTTCTGTCCTAAGGGCACACGCAGACCTCCCGCCCCACTGGGCATGGCGGGCACACAGGGTCACCCACCTTTCCCCCCGTGCTCCCTCCCTTGGTAGGAATCTGTGGGGCAGGGGGTATCTGGCAGTGGGGTCGGGGTCGGGGCTTCTTCGGTGCTTGTGGGTCTGAATTACACAATGACGGTTTCCCTGTCCTTTTCCAGTTTCAAGTCAGCACAATGATTTTTTTCTAAAACAAGCTGGAATGTTGAGAAGTCTTGATCTATCCATAAAAAAATACCCTCAACTCCTAAATCCAGCATGTTACTGGGCAAAATTGATCTGGCTTTGAATTTCGTATTTGTTATAAGGCTTTGAAATTGTGATCTGGTTCAACGGCAAGTCGGTCTACGACCCATTTCCCTTCGACTCCCAAGGTTCGTCTTTCTGATCACTTTGGGTTTGGGTCAGAGCTCACTGTGCTCAGGGCTGACTCCTGCCTCTGTCCAAGTGACTTCACCCACTGGACACTCCGCCCGGCCCCAAATGTCCTCCAGTGACCTGCCCCGGCTGCCCACCGGTGTGGGTTTCTCTCCCCAAACCAGAAGGCGGGCCTGTTTCCCACCAAGGACAGGCCTAAGAAAGGGGGCAGGTGTCAATACAGGGGGGGAAAGGAGGAGGGAGAGAAGGGGAAAGGGAAGCGAGGAGGAGGAGGAGGAGGAGGAGGAGGGAGGGAGGGAGGGACAGAGCGAGTGAGGGAAGGATGGACGGGAGAGAAGAGGAAAAGGATGGAAGGAGAAAGGGAGGAACGGAGGGAAGGAAGGAGAGAGAAGGTAGGAGGAAGGAGGGAGGGAAGGGAGAGGAGAGGGAAAGAAGGATGGAAGGAAGGAGGGAGAAAGGGCAGGAGGCGAGGAAGGGAGGATGGGAGGGCAGGAGGGTGAGGGAGTGAAGGGCGGAAGGAGGGAGGGAGGGAGAAGGAAAGATGGGGGGAGGGAGGGAGGGGGAAGGAAGGGAGAGGAGGAGGGAGGGTGGGAGCACCCCTCCAGCGTCTCTTGCCCCTGTACCACTGCTCGAGCAACTCCACTGGCTCGAGCACTTTCTCTGGGGCTTCTGCAGTGTCAGCTGGTGCTGTTCAACCTTCACCCGCAGGCTCTACCCTGAGTCACCCTCCCCGGGGAAGCCAGCACCTGTGTGGAGAGGCGCACCCCTCGCTCCCCCTCGGCAGGGACGGGCCTGTCTCGGACCCCAGGCTGGACCACCAGGCCACCGCCTGGCCCAGCGCAGCTCCTCATCCCCAGCCGGGATCCAGCAGCACCCCCCAACACCTTTCCCGGGGGCCCGCCGGCCGCAGGAACCCCGGCTCGGCTCGCCGCCACCTCCCGGGCATCTGATCAAACCAAAGTCACAAACGGAAAAGGAACATCAAGCCAATCCTAAGACTTTGGCTTTTTCAATCCGAGAAATATAACATCTTAAAATAAGGTTTCAAAGTCGCTGCGAAACGAACTCAAAATGGAATCGAATCTTAAAACCCTGAATCTAAAACAGGCAAAAAAATCCCCCGTTTCCTCCGAACTCCTGGCGGAGGCGGCGACTGGGCATCTCGCACGCCCCTTCGACCGGCCGGGAAACGGGCCCCGCGTCTCCGGGGAAGCAGCGAAACGGGGGCGTGTCCGCGGGTGGCGTGTCCGCCTGCCCGGGCTGGGGTCCTCTGCCCGGGGCTGACCGGCGGTCCCCGGAGCCGGCTCTGGCCCCGCCCTGCGCCGGGCAGGGGCCGCGGCGGGGTGGGCGTGGGCGTGGGCGGGGCGGGGGGGGGGGGCGCGACCGGGCCGCGTCTGGGGGGGGGGGGGACCGGAATCCGGCTCCTCGGTCGGGTCCCGGGCAACACGCGCGCCCGCCCCCCCCCCGCCCCCCGCAGCCCCGCGCCTGCGCCCCGGGCCG